AGGTGCGTGTATACGCGATTTAGAATCAGGTGATTTGCTCCATATAATCCCTGTCAGCTAAAGGGAATATATTTATAAATGCATAATTTGCATACCAATTTCGATCAGACCACGAACTGCGATGTTTTCGAGTTTCATCAATTTAGACTGAAAAAAAAAGCAAAATCAATATTATGAAAAACATCACTAAATCATTATCACTATTTCCATGATGTAAGGACTTTGAAATAAAAATTCCAGTGTTAAAAATTCCAGTGTTAAAAATTCCATTACTAAACGTATAACTGATTAAACTGTAATACACTCTAAAACACTCTGGTTAAAATTTTCAGCATGTGGTTTTTTATGTCACCTCCGACCATAGTGTGGTTAATGTAACCTGGAATCTGGTTATATTTGACCAAGAGGTCCTTGTTAAAATAACCAGACTATGTCAGGAACCTTTAGTTATATATCCACCTGATTATTTAACCAGGACGTCCTGGTCAAATTAACTAGACTATAGGAGAAATAGGTTAAAATAACCTGGAAACTTAACCACAAAAATTTTAATCAGATTGTTTCTAGACAGTATTTTGCCAAGAAAGAAGGCAAAATCCACTCTTCAAACGAAGCCCTTCGTCAAAAAGTTGGTATACGAAAGTGCGGCCGGACATAGTTTATAAGCTTTAGTTATTGTGTCAAACAATCCCCAACATTCTTATGTAAAAAATTGAAGAAATAAAAAATAGGAGGCCTATCCATACCCAGGATCAAATATGCCCATTGTTAAGTATGACGTCACATACGAAATGAAAGCAAGGTTTGGGCAAGTAGCCCCAAAATTGACCAAACCTGCCGGATAAAGCCGAGTAAAGGTACCTAATTACGGCCCCGAATACCTTCGGCTTGGAAAGATCATATGGTACGAGCAAAACCTAAGTAGCTAGCAGATAGTAAGAGTTCACGCATACCACGTGGTATACGTGACTGGAGTACCAGAACGTTGTGAATATTAATTCTGACACTGGTTACTGCAAAAGACAACAAAAAATTCCGACGCCTCGCCCATTGGCTTATTGAGTAAACGGGACGAATACTGCGTTCTTCAGAAATCTGTTTGTTGTCTAAGTTCTTTTATAGATTAAACAAGATATTATTTCCATGTTTCATTGTCGAGATATTTCACTCTCTTTATAATGTGCGTGAAAAAACTCTATTCTGTTGGCTAAGAGGAGTGCTGCAACATTATCGAAATTCATTGCCGAAAAAGAAATGCGTGGCAAGCGTCAAAACAAAAGACATTTTGATTTAAGTTTTGACTTTTAACAGTTAAAAACTTGTAGTAAGTTGTTTAAGTTACAATTTTAAAAGTAAGAGGTATCATTAGGAACAATTTCCATATCTTGAAAAACGACCCTCAAACATCTTGTATTTTCTTCGATAACCCCATACTCTCCTTTCGACACAGCAAAATATCCATGAAACCCTATACAACTTACAGTTCTAAAGATCTTTGTATCGTCTGCAAACGGGTTGCGATAGTTGAATTATCCACTGTTTCAATGAGATGATTCTAGTTGCTTCGGTGAGATGATTCTCGCTTCAGTGAGATGATTTTCCAGCTTCCATTCCTTCGGTGAGATGATTCTCATCTCACCGAACATGTGAGCAACACCCGGAATTCGCTTCATTTATGCAAAGCAGATGCAGTCAGCTCTATCCAGTCCCAGTTTTGAGGTCGTGAGGTTTGGTTCTGGTGTGACCACTAGAAGGAACTGTGTACGGCAGCAAAAGCACTAATCTCTAGTCTTGCTTGACAATTCATATCAAAGACGGGAAACCGGCTTGTCTTGCATGGGAAACACGTCGATAAAATCATGTTCTATCTCATTTTGCCTGCATTTTATTTTTGTTTTTGCTTTTCCAAATAAAATAATAAATTTGATAATGAAATGCCCCTCCCCCCTTGCACCCCCTCCCCACCGAACCAGTTCGCTCCCCTTGATAAACTGGTTGCTAATTACAACGCCATGAACAGATCGACTATGACCTATTTATATCAATCTCCCATACATAATCTTTATGCAGTTGAAAAGCGTGATCAGTGCAGAAACACGCGTGAGTAAAGCACCATACAGTGATATCAAAGCGGTCAGTGGAGAAACACGCACCATAAATTAAGTTGTATCAAAGCAGTCGGTGCAAAAAACACACGTATACGGTCCTGGGTACGAGGATGTATACGGCATTGACATCATAATATTATCTTTCCTATTATGGCTTTAATGTCATCATAGTAATGTTACTGCATAATATTCTTTCAATTAATTTATTATGGGCATGTTAGATTTAATCATTATTTAGATTTATCAATACCAGCGTCTAGTTCAAGCTGACTGGGCCAATCCCGCTTAAGTAAAACTTATTATCTACCTAGACACGGCATTACATCGTGACCCATTTGTCCACCACACCCATAGCAAATATTTCAATGTAATGAAAGAAATTGAAGTTCATTATCCCAGCACTGAATAGCGGTTCGTTTCAAGTTGTCCGCCAGATGTCGTGTCTCAGGGATGGATCTAGTCCGTTCTAGTAGGGGGTTTCAGTCGAGCTTTGGCACTGACCTTATATCTAGGACTGGATAGAGCTTTTTACCTATACTGTGTGGCGATATATAAAGAGTTCACTTTCGCCCGCGAATTAAAGCTGAATCTGAATCAATCTCATAACCTTTCATACGGCAAACTCAAACTATCTCTTGCATCTTTTAATTTCTTCTTTGTTTAGTTTGTTTCAAACTAGTTTAAAACAAGAAAACAAGAGAAAGGCAAACGGAGTTTCTTCGTTTGCCTTTCTCTTGTTTTCTGTATTTTATCTACGAGCGTCTCTATTTTGTATTGATAGCAGATATCTCCCGTCCTAACCCACTCTATCTAGTGACATACTTCCACGTGGCCGGTGGCACGTGACCAGCCTGTGTCAGGGTTTTCGCTGCAGCGGGTTTCGGAGGGTAGCGAAAGTGAAAAGCCCGAGTATCAGGTTGTCAACGCTACTTCTTTACTAGTTTCCCTCGCAGACGTTCTTATAGCTCTCACCCTCGCTAACGAACGTCTGCTGAAACGAGCTACATATTCTATTCCCTTTGTTTTAGGAGCCAATCATCTGGCAGTGTTCAAAAGAGTTAAAGCCAATTAAAAACCTTAATGAGAGATTAGCTACTGGGGAAAGCCCTTGAATATGGCAACATAACTGTTTGGGTTGAAATTTGTTTACTTGCGTGAAGATATTTTGGAAACTATAGCCTTGAACTTCGCTCATCTTCCAGCATGTTCTGCAAACAACCACTGTATATAAAATGCAAAAGCTATGCAACAGGCGAAATTTTAAATTTTGTTAAACAATGCCAAACAAGCAATCGGGGAAACTCGAGAACGAGTAGATCAGGATATGTCTAAATGTTGCTATTAAATACTTCCTATATGCCATGGCTTCGACGAAAAATTCTAAAAGATTAAGCTGTCGTTGTCATGTAGAAAAGTATAGCGAAGTTAGATGTATAAACGTTTCGACGTTTGCGCGAATTGGAAATTCATCTCGGCGCAATTGAAAGTTTCGGGTTTTATTTGTGTTGCGTTTACATTCAGAAGTCAGAAGTGGTTGCTCATGCAAACAGCGAATTAGTTTACTTTGAAACTAATATTTCGCTTTCTAAGCCACAATATTATATCATATTTTCGGTCTTCTGAGTTCATTGTCTTAAAGATAAACAGCTGTCAAAATTTCAGCGAAATATATTCGGCGTTTCAGCGAAATATATTCGCCACTAGATTCATATAGTATGCCATCCTGTCCGCGTTTTAAATATATTAACCGAACATTTTTTATCCGAATCTGATAATTAATGGTGCATTTTATTTCCTGGACCAGAATCAATGTCTTTAAATGTCTTCAATAAATTCAATTTATGTAGTGCAATTTTGACCAAAATTGCTCTCAAAATATAAAAATATTTATGTATTTATTCGAGTATTTATTCATTTCTTAATCACTTTCCGAAATATAGAATGTTCGCTGTGATTGGTGGATCTGAGAGAATGGAATGTGTAGCTCGTTTCAGCAGACATTTGTTAGCGAAAGTTAGAGCTATATTGCCTATAAACACGTCTGCAAGGGAGACTACTTCTTTACCTAACTTGGAAGAGCTTCCTACGTCCCTTCTCCGATATTATTGTTGTTACTTTACTTCCTTGTCAAACAAACTGTTGATATTGAATGTCACGTAGATTATTGTTTTTCACATTATACATGAACGTTGTCTTTTTGAATTTCATTCGTTCTGGCAGTGGCCGCCAACTGTAGTGTGCCTATTTTTAGTTTTATTCGCCTGGGTTCGTATACGAGGCTGCGGGCAAAGCGTATTTCGTTTCTTGATGTGTTGTCGACAGTCCCTCCTTTCCTTTCGCTTGTCCGGAAATCTAAACCCGAGGAAAGGAGGGACCGCTCGCAGTCAACTCACGGCTTAACTTCTCTGATATTAGGGACTTTAAGATTGACGTTTACGTCAAACCGGAGGGACCGCTCGCAGTCTACTCATGGCTTAACTTCTCTGATATTAGGGACTTTAAGATTGACGTTTACGTCAAACCGCAAACGGAAAATTTCAAATCGCATTTGAAAGTAAGGCCTAAAGTTTCGACAGCTGAAAGAAGCTAATTCATGCTCCAATTTTACTGCACAAGTTGCCCTAACTTCGAACAGCGACCAGTTGACTTCAAATTACGTTCGCGGTTAGTTAGCGGTTTGCCCTAAACCAGTAAACGTCAACCTTAAATTCTCTATTAAGTGTTCTTACTTGACTTCCTTCTCCTATCTCTCAATATCTCGAGACACAACAAGGTTTCACTTTCAGCGTATAACAAATAACGTTATTCTCTGTTCAAAACAAGTTACTTTAAGGACGCAACTAGGTTAATTAAATTAACTTTGCCAATCAATTGATTATTGATATTTTCACAATGTTGGAAGAAATAATCGCTTGTTTTTTGTCATTGTTTTCCGCCTTAACTTTGGATGCGCCACGACTTTCTCGGCGAGAAATGAACGACAGTACAAGTCCATCGGAGCAACGAACACACAATACATGGGAGGATAAAATTCACAAAGAATACGTCTCGTTTGAAGAAGATAATCCACCATCAGAAACAGAGTATGTACAACTAGGGTATGAACTGCGAAACAGGCCTAGTTATACCCAGTCATTACTCAGAAGTTTGAAGGCGAACTTTACCATAACCTTAGCTGTACTGCCTTTGGCACCTATAGGGATGGCGCTTATATATTTTGATTTAAGAACAGTTGATTTATGTTCTGAATGGGAGGCTAAAAACTACACTCTCTCATTTGATATCGAGAGAATAAAATTAATCGGCGAAGGATTTCAGACAGTGATTTTGTATCTCGCGGTTCCCTCACTTTGTTTTACCTTATTTGGTTGGACAGAATTTAAGCGTCATTATTCCTCAACTATCCTAGTAGGCCAACTGGCTGGTTTATTTAATACATTATTTTTAAGTTTTTTACTCCTATATGCTATTGATGATACCAGTCCAATCGAAACTTACAACGTTCCTGGAAATTTAATATTTGCTGTCGCTACTTTCTGGGAATCTGCAATGGTGGTGCGCAAAATTCAACAAAATCAACCAACTGTATCCTACTCAGGCTTCCATATTTTCTCGGTTCTTATCGTACCGGTATTAAGCACTTTAGTAATGGGATTGTTTTACAAATACGCGGTTGTTAAGTGGTTTATTTCCCTCCATAATGTGTTGTATAAATTCATATTGGCCATCTTGACACCGACCTTAGCACTGGTGCCGACTACTTTATGTAGGCATATGGCATTATGGCGTACTTCAGAGATTATCGAGCCAGAACGAAGCTTTGTGTTGGTTTTTTTCATACGGGCAATGTTCATTACTTTGTATCGTATCATGCAATCAGACTTTAAGAATATCTGGCTGTTTGTCGGGCTATCTTTTCTATCGGGTGTGTCCAGTTTACTTAAAACAGCGACTGTCGGTATTCGTGAGAAAGTATGGGCGCGAGTTATCAGGTTTCTGAACAGAACATGCTGTACAAGACTGCACCATTTGCCTGGAAACACACCACATCATAGGCGGCTTAAAGCAGACACCGAGATACAAAATATACTTTTGGAGAACAATTCACTGATTCTAAGCCAATCCTACATCGTTTTATATACGATTACAAAGTTTCAGCTCTCTGATTGGTCTGTCCTGAAGTCATCTTTAATGAGAATTGCTATTGGATTAGTCATTGAATTCGTGTTCAACTTTTTGTCCACTTTTGTTCGCATACATTGGCATAATATTCCCATAGCGCGAGTGTGGTCCAAGTACTGGAAACGACATGTGTTTGCTAACGGGATCGTTCTTGCAGTTTTAGTATGCCATTTTACTAACCCCTTGCTCGCAATATTCCAAGATCGTTTTCATCACTCTGGTGCAGGGAATTATACTATTAGAAATTGTACTCTGCCTTATGAAAACTGGCGTTGATTTCATAAACGGTCGTTTGTTGTAACCTCTCCTTATTTCGCTATTATCATCATTATCATCATTATTATCATTATCATTATCATTATCATTATCATTATCATTATCATTATCATTATCATTATCATTATTATTATTATTATTATTATTATTATTATTATTATTATTATTGGAATCTAAAATACATGAAGAAGACAATATAGCCTTAATTGCCATGCATTTACATTAAAATTAGTAAATATATAAAATTTACATTGTTTGTATATTAACAGTATTACCTTAACTAGACTATAGATAATTTAAAATATTGAAGTTTATGTTTAAAATATCAAAGTTAGTAAAACGTCATAAAACCTAAGGTCTCGCTAGCTACTGTTATAGCAGTTTATTGCGTGTACTAACGGACTATTCTTAAATCTTTCTGTTCTAAATTTAAAATTATAATACATATCCGCATTGGATCTAGTTTCTCTTTGTCTTGTATCTCTAACGCGGTCTTGAAGTAGGACGTATAGACGGTGCTCAGGCGAAAATAGATTTGCAATCCAGTCTATACAATGATTCTCGCGTCTTTCACTCAGTGTTCCCATTTTAAGATGGTTTAACGCTACAAAATATTCCACTCCAGGTAATATTATTCTGAATGCTCTTTTTTCTGTACTCTTTCAATGTTTGCACTTTGAGCATTGGTCACACCTCCATGCCACAACACATCTCCATATTCCAGAGTTGATCTAATTATACTACAATAGAATTGTAGCAAATCCTGCGTTGGCGCCCCATACCTTTTGAGCAGTTTGAGAAAGTACAACCGCTTCCTTGCTTTCTTTACGATGTACTCAGTGTTACTATCCCATTTTAGATTGTCGTCAAGTCATGTTCCTAACAGTTTAAAAGAAGTAGACTGCGAGCAATCCCTCTATTTTCCTTTGTTTTATTGTTTCCCGGACTAAGATTGAACGCGCGGGAAAATGGCAAAAAGGGGCGGAGACAAGAGGGAAAATGGCAAAAAGGGGCGGAGACAAGAGGAAAAATAGAGGGATTGCCGCTTTAACTAATTGTCAAGCGTGTTCGATTTTCCCGTTGCACAGACAACGAGAAATTCTGATTGGTTAAAAAACAATAAATATTCTGATAACATTAAAACCCATCACTCACCTGGCTTTATACTGTAAACAGACATTTGGCGAAATTAATATCTATCTGGCAGCGGGAAGCAACGAAAATTGATACGTATGTAGTTGAAAGTCTTACAACAAGCTTACAGAAACAAACGCTTGCAATAGAGTGCTTACTTGAAGGTAGAGATGTTCTAGCTGTCCTTCCTACGGGATTTGGAAAGAGTTTCCTGTTGGCTGAAGATATTGGAAGGGTTTGTTCAAGCCCAACTAGTATTATAGTATTTGAATTGTTCCTCTTCGTAGCATTACTATTATTGATGAACAGTTACGGTCCAACGACTTTGCAAATATTAACTCGGCCGTTCTTATAGTGGGTTCAAGGAAACCAATTTTCAGATATTTGTGTATGCGTCTGCTGATGAAGCTTAAATTGAGCCTTTGTCTCCTGAATTTGTTGCCTTGTTGAAGAATAAAAGCTCGCCATTCAGAAACGAACTGCCCTCATAGTCGTTGATGAATTGGCAGTTAGGCTAATTAATACATGGTGACTTGGTGAGTTTATGGAGTTTGGGTTTATTATAATATTGTACGTCTTTGTATTAAAATATGTATGTATGTATTGTATATTGTATGTATTGTTTTGATCTTAAATGGAATAGTCATATTGACAGTATCAATGCAAATGTACGTATACGAATGCTAAAACTATGAACTATGAATTAAAACGTTTACATGTAGAACTTGCGATTATGAATGTGTTCATGTATCTATTAGTCTTAAGTATTGGAAAGTCCTCAGGGATTAATGTGCAGACAGTACAGTATTTGAGTAAATTGAGTTCAAATAGTGCCGCGAAGTTTGTGATTTGGATCTTCAATGATTTCTGTATCCGTTCAATGTCTTTACTCAGGTAATTTGGGATTCCGTAATGAAAAACGGGCGATGCATATTCTACTATCTCGGTCGGATGCAAGTACAATAAAAACAAATCATCTCAGCAGCGGGTACATTCGCACGTTTTAACTGACGTAAATTACAAACACTCCTTGTAAATCTTATCCATGTAATTCAGCTGAATAGCTGTATTAAGTTGGTAATTTTTTATTACTGTAAACTATTAAAATATATCAAAATATTGTCGCAGAAAGTCACAGTCTATAGAATAGAATAGACCCTTCAATAAACCCTAAGACCCCTTGCCTTGCTTTATACGTTTTTCTGCCAGACAAATTCTGATTATGAATATTCGTACTTGCCAAACTAAAATTTGAGAATTTAAATACACGTTGTTTGATGGTTTTACACTAAGCGAATTGAGTCATTCGAGATCGCGCCTTTCAAGAGATGTTTTTGACCCTGTTTTGAAATATAAACAAGTAGGCGGAGCTTAATCAAACACGCTTGACAATTAGTTAAAGCGGCAATCCCTCTATTTATTAGGGATTGCTCGCAGTCTATAAAAGAAGTGACCCTTTCAACTTCTGAGTCGTGCATCTTAATACTTCTAATTGTAGTTTTCCTAACGCGAAAGTCAAAAATCATTTCTTTGTTTTTTTTCACATTGAGTACCATTCTTTGTTCGCCACAAAAGGTTGATATCCTTTGGATATTAAGTTCCATGTTCCCAATTGGTTGATCCTACCTATGACTGGTCACATTCAACACTTCCGATAGCGTGGTATCATCTGTAAACATCGAAACTTGTTCCGCATTAGTTGAATTCTCTGTCACTGCGACGTCCGGTGGGCGATTGATCTTAGCAATAAAAGAAAAGGGGCCGATCTTGTTCCCTTGTGGTACGTCAGCGTTAATATTGCGGAAATCTGACAACTTCCCCTCACATTGGACTCTTTGTCTTACGGACATATTGTCTTACGGACTATTTTCTATAATCTTTATGTTATTATAATAATGTTAGCATAATATTTTCATTTATTTTTTGAATAGTAATATCAGCATATGCAATGATTTTAGCATTGGCATGTTAGATCATAGCCTGGCAAGATATGATAGTCTGGCAAACTTCAAAGTCACAAAATAGAAGACCTTTGTTTGATATTCAACAGGTGGGAAATTTGTCTGAGCATGCGCGAGCAAAATGAGCCACGCAATTGCGTGGAATACACGTAACGCGTGTTTACAAAAAGCAGCAATTGTGTAAATATTGCCAAATATTTGGTACAAAATAAATGACTGTTTTATGTTGAAAATGGATATGATCTAAATTAATCATAAATAATTTTTTAGTGATGTTCTATTTCAGTACCCTGCCATTGTCCCTAGTCTGCTGTCCGTGTGCATTCGATCTGAAACAGTTGTTACTTTATATTTCAATGTAATGAAAGAAATTGTAGTTCATTATCCCACCACTGAATAGCGGTTCGTTTCAAGTTGTCCGCCAGATGTCGTGTATCAGGGATGGATCTAGTCAGTTCTAGTAGGGGCTTCCAGTCGAGCTTTGGCACTGATCTTATATCTAGGACTGGATAGAGCTTCTTTACCTATACTGTGTAGCGATATAAAGAGTTCAATTTCGCCCGCGAATTAAAGCTGAATCTGTATCAATCTATTAACTATGATCAATCTCATAACCTTTCATACGCCAATCTCAAACTATCTCTTGCATCTTTTAATTTCTTCTTTGTTTAGTTTGTTTTAAACTAGTTTAAAAGAAGAAAACAAGAGAAAGGCAAACGGAGTTTCTTCGTTTGCCTTTCTCTTGTTGTCTGTATCTTATCTATGAGCGTCTCTATTTTGTATTGATAGCAGATGTCTCCCGTCCTAACCCACTCTAGTGACATACTTCCACGTGGCCGGTGGCACCTAAAATCTACGTGTCACGTGACCAGCCTGTGCCAGGGTTTTCGCTGCAGCGGGTTTCGGAGGGTAGCGAAAGTGAAAAGTCCGAGTATCAGGTTGTCAACGCTCCTTCTTTACTAGTCTCCCTCGCAGACGTTCTTATAGCTCTCACCCTCGCTAACGAACGTCTGCTGAAACGAGCTGCATATTCTATTCCCTTTGTTTTAGGAGCCAATCATCTGGCAGTGTTCAAAAGAGTTAAAGCCAATTGAAAACCTAATTATTGAGAGATTAGCTACTGGTAGCCTCCTGCGCAGACGTTGTTAGTGGCCCGAGGCCTCACCTAACGTCTGCTCACATTCGCTATGCATTTGACTTCCCGGCAATTAACCAATCACAATCATCTACACGATAATTGGAAGATCGGCCTACAATGACCTTCACACGCATGGGCTATATCAACAAGTCTGTAGTATTTTTAAATTTGAAAGTTTTAACACTGCGCATTAGAAAAAGGCTTTTCAGTCTATTATAAACGAAAAGGATGTTTTCGTAAATCTCACAACTGACGCAGGAAATCACTTATTTATCATGCACGCCGTTACCGAAGCTATTCGATGTAATATTCGGATTTAAATATTTAAACAAATTGTAAACATTGTAAACATTTAGTAATCGTGATTTCGTCATTGATAAATTCAATACGATCGTGATCAAGTAAAAAAATTACACGATCTAGGAGTCGGTGCTGTGTCATTATTAAGTTTAATCGAGAGCGATAAAGAAGCGAAGACATTGGAAGATGGGAAATATTCTGACTGTATTATATGGCACAGCAGAGTCATTGCTGAAGACAAAGACAAAGTGTATGGCAGAACGGTTTGTGCTTTGGCTATTGATGCATGAAGCTCATTTCAGTATGTATTATAATAAATCCTAAACATGTGTTTGCATTTGCAATTCTCAAAGCCACAGCAATCGATCGGCTTTGACCATTTTAATAGTCGTTATTTTATATTGTCTTGATTTATACGTTGCCTCGTATTATCTATTGCACGTAGCACCAGCAAGTTTATGAGCCATTCTAGTTAATATACATGCCCCAACCCTCTCTGATGTAAACCCTTCATAATTGCCCTCATATAAACTTGCATGCTAGTACTACATGCAAATAGATAATACGAGGCAATGTATAAAAAGACAAATTCAATTTAAATAAACAATATAAAATATTATTGAATAATGACTATTAAAATGGCCAAGCCCGATCGATTCCTGTGTCTTTGGGAATTACAAAAGCGAACACATTTTTAGGATTTATTATAATACATACCATTCTTTAATCGCATGAGCTTCATGCATCAACAGCCAAAGCACAAACCATTTTGCTATACGTACAATTTGTTGAAGCATTCGTTTCCATCGTTCGGTCTTCAACAATGACTCTGCATATAATACAGTCAGAATATTTCCATTCTTCCAATGCCTTCGCTTCTTTATCGCTCTCGATTCAACTTAATAATGACACAGCACTGACTCCTAGATCGTGTAGTTTTTTGACTTGATCTCGTATTGAATTTATCAACCGAAACCACGATTACTAAATGTTTACAATGTTTACAATTTGTTTAAATATTTAAATCCGAATATTACATCGAATAGCTTCGGTAACGGCGTGATAAATAAGTGATTTCCTGCGTCAGTTGTGAGATTTACGAAAACATCCTTTTCGTTTATAATAGACTGAAAAGCCTTTTTCTAGTGCGCAGTGTTAAAACTTTCAAATTTAAAAATACTACAGACTTGTTGATATAGCCCATGCGTGTGAAGGTCATTGAAGGCCGATCTTCCAATTATCGTGTAGATGATTGTGATTGGTTAATTGCCGGGAAGTCAAATGTATAGCGAATGTGAGCAGACGTTAGGTGAGGCCTCGGGCCACTAACAACGTCTGCGCAGGAGGCTAAGCTACTGGGGAAAGCCCTTGAATATGGCAACATAACTGTTTGGGTTGAAATTTGTTTACTTGCGTAAAGATATTTTGGAAACTATAGCCTTCAACTTCACTCATCTTCCAGCATGTTATGCATGCAAACAACCGCTGTATATAAAATGCAAAAGCTATGCAATAAAGCGAAATTTTAAATTTTGTTAAACAATGACAAACAAGCAATCGGGGAAACTCGAGAACGAGTAGATCAGGATATGTCCGCTAAATGTTGCTATTAAATACTTCCTATATATGCCATGGCTTCGACCAAAAATTCTAAAAGATTAAGCTGTCGTTGTCATGTAGAAAAGTATAGCGAAGTTAGATGTATAAACGTTTCGACGTTTGCGCGAATTGGAAATTCATCTCGGCGCAATTAAAAGTTTCGGGTTTTATTTGTGTTGCGTTTACATTCAAAAGTCAGAAGTGGTTGCTCATGCAAACAGCAAATTAGTTTACTTTGAAACTAATATTTCGCTTTCTAAGCCACAATATTATATCAAATTTTCTGTCTTCTGAGTTCTGTTGTCTTAAAGATAAACATCTGTCAAAAGTTTCAGCGAAATATTTTCGGCGTTTCAGCGAAATATATTCGCCACTAGATTCATATAGTATGCCACATCCTGTCCGCGTTTTAAATATAACCGAACATTTTTAATGCCAGAATCTGATAATTAATGGTGCATTTTATTTCCTGGACAAGAATCAATGTCTTTAAATTCAATTTATGTGCAATTTTGACCAAAATTGCTCTCAAAATATAAAAATATTTATGTATTTATTCGAGTATTTATTTCGAAATCCTCTGCCTTTCCGAAATATAGAATGTTCGCTGTGATTGGTGGATCGGAGAGAATGGAATGTGTAGCTCGTTTCAGCAGACGTTTGTTGGCGAAAGTTAGAGCTATATTGCCTATAAGCACGTCTGCAAGGGAGACTACTTCTTTACCTAACTTGGAAGAGCTTCCTACGTCCCTTCTCTGATATTATTGTTGTTACTTTACTTCCTTGTCAAACAAACTGTTGATATTGAATGTCACGTAGCTATCTCGAAACACAACAAGGTTTCAGTGCATAACAAACAACGTTATTCTCTGTTCAAAACAAGTTACCTTAAGGACGCAACTTGGTAATCAATTGACATTTTCACGATGTTGGAAGAAATAATCGCTTGTTTTTTCTCATTGTTTTCTACCTTAGCTTCGGATCCTCCACGACTTTCTCGAGAATTGAACGACATTAATACAAGTCCATCAGAACAACGTACACGCTATACATGGGAGGATAAAATTCACAAAGAATACGTCTCGTTTGAAGAAGATAATCCACCATCACAAATAGAGTATGTACAACTAGGGCATGAACTGCGAAACAAACCTATATATATCCAGTCTTTACTCAGAAGTTTGAAGGCGAACTTTACCATAACCTTAGCTGTACTGCCTTTGGCATTTCTAGGGATGGCTCTTATATATTTTGATTTAAGAACAGTGGATTTATGTTCTGAATGGGAGGCTAAGAACTACACTGTTTCATTTGATGTTAGGAGAATAAAATTAATCGGCGAAGGATTTCAGTCAGTGATATTGCATCTCGTGGTTCCCTTCCTTTTGCTTGTCTTATTTGGTTGGACAGAATTTAAGCGTCATTATTCCTCAACTATCCTAGTAGGCCTACTGGCTGGTATATTTAATACATTATTTTTAAGCTTTTTACTCCTATATGGTATTGATGATACTAGTTCAATCGTAACTTACAACGTTCCAGGAAATTTATTATTTCCTGTCGCTTCTCTCTGGGAATATGCAATTGTGGTGCGCAATATTCGACAAAATCATCAAACTGTATCCTACTCAGGTCGCCATATTTTCACGGTTCTTGCAGTACCGGTATTGAGCACCTTGGCAATGGCAGTGTTTTACAAATACGCGGTTGTTAACTGGTTTATTTCCCTCGATAATGTGTTGTATAAATTCATATTGGCCATCTTGACACCGACCTTAGCACTGGTACCGACTACCATATGTAGGCATATGGCATTATGGCGTACTTCAGAGATTATCGAGCCAGAGCGAAGCTTTGCGTTGGTTTATTTCATACGGGCAATGTTCATTACTTTGTATCGTATCATGCAAGCAGATTTTGAAAACATCTGGCTGTTTGTCGGGCTATCTCTCCTATCTGGTGTTTCGAGTTTGCTTAAAACAGCGACTGTTGGTATTCGTGAGAACGCATGGGCGCGAGTTATCGGGTTTCTGAACAGAACTTGCTGTACAAGACTGCACCATTTGCCTGGAAACACACCACATCATAGGCGGCTTAAAGCAGACACCGAGATACAAAATATACTTTTTGAGAATAATTCACTGATTCTAAGCCAATCGTACATCGTTTTATATACGATTACAAAATTTCAGCTCTCGGATTGGCCAGTATTGAAGCCATCTTTAACCAGAATTGCTATTGGATTAGTGATTGAATTCGTATTCAACTTTCTGTCTACTTTTATTCGCATACAGTGGTATAATATTCCCACAGTGCGAGTGTGGTCCAAGTATTGGAAACGACATGTGTTTGCTAACGCAATCATTCTGGCAGTTTTAGTAGTATACTATTTTACTCAACCCTTGCTCGCAGTATTTCAAGATCGTTTTCATGATTCTGGTACAGGCAATTACACTTTTAGAAATTGTACTCTGCCTTATGAAAGCTGGCGTTGATTTCAGAAACGTTCCCTATTACGGACAATTTCCTAATATCTCTATGTTACCTATTAAGACTTTATAATTAATGTTATCACAGTATTATAGTTATGTTACTGCATAATATTTTTTAATGACTTTAGCATGGACATGTCAGGTTTAACGTTTATTTTACGTGATGTTGAAATGTTTGAATTTTATTGTAACATGCATGCACGATTCCTATGAATACCAGCGTCCAGTTCAAGCTGACTGGGGCAATCCTGTTTAAATAAACGTTTTCATATTACTAGACACACAGTCACACACTATTATCCAAATCCATTGCACCAACAGACCCATAGCAAAAATTTTCATGCAATGAAAGAAATTGAAGTTCATTATTCCACTACTGAGCAGCGGTTCGTTTCAAGTTGTCTGTCAGATGTCATGTATCAGGGATGGATCTATAGCCAGTTCTGGTAGGGGGTGCTAGTCGAGCTTTGGCACTGAGAAGTAGCATTTGCTACTTCACATTAAACGTACATAGCCTGCCTACATAACATGAACAATTTTCTTATAATTTTTAAAGATGTTTACAGTGGCACTTCGAAACGAAATATTTGGCAATCAGTGATACAAATAACCGCATAGTTTACACCAAAAACTGACTAATCCTTGGAGACCACATTTTATTCTCACAACCTTACGAGTCACGAATAATCAAGTAGATATTCGTAAGGCTGGTTTTCCACTAGGCGGAATTTTGCGTGCGGAGCGGAATTTTTCTCTGTCTTGTGATTTCTTGGGTGGAACTAATTAAAAAAAAACAAAGAGAAATTCCGCTCCGCGCGCAAAATTCCGCCTAGTGGAAACGGCCCTAAAATACTCGATATCGAAAAACGAAACCATGCTGTGCGCTTTCTAAAGATTCGAAAGCTCTTTATAAAAATATTCTTACCGACTATTAACTGGTTTCGGTTGTGAAAGTATTCGCAGCAATGCATGTGAACAACATATTTACAAGGTTTAAAACGGAATAATCATGCAGCCGTTCTTAAAAAAATGACTGATTTATAAGCACCAAACATGTTTACAATTTTTTATTGTTCTACCAACATTTCGAAGTATAACTCGGTCTAGCTTAAGATGACTATTTACAAGCCGAGAGCCTGTGGTCGGCACGGCAGATTTGCACATGTCACATTCTTACAAAATTGACAGCGTGGCATTTTCCAGCTATACGAAGAAATATAACACAAGCTTTCACTTTTCCGCCGTCTCTGTGCTAATCATGCAGTGTCAACCTCGCGTCTACTTTTACTATAGGGATAACACTAAACCTAAGCCTAAGGTTAATTAACACCAACCCTAACCTTAGGGTTAACCCTTACCCAGCACTAGGTCTAACCCCAACCCTAACCCTAACCTTAACCCAAAGGTTGGAGTAACTTATAGACAGGATACTAAGTCTGCGTTCTAAATGGACTTCTGATTGCACAGTCTTGGTGTGAAGCTACTGCCTGCAACTATGTGAACAAACAAATTTATTCACAATATTTTATTTTCCTGCCGAAAATTCTATGATAGCAAGCAAGCAGGCCGGCAAACTAATCTTCATATATAATATGTCAGTTCATTTTTACATACAATATGTCAGTTCCATCTTCATATATAATATGTCAGTTTCATCTTCATATATAATATGTCAGTTCATTTTTATATACAATATGTCAGTTTCATCTTCATATATAATATGTCAGTTTCATCTTCATATATAATATGTCAGTTCATTTTTACATACAATATGTCAGTTTCATCTTCATATATAATATGTCAGTTTCATCTTCATATATGTCAGTTTCATCTTCATATATAGAGAATACCAGATTTATTTCGAGTGTTGAACATGATATTTCACGAGTGAGCGCAGCGAACGAGTGAGATATCACGTTCAAAACGATTGTTTATATAAACATAACACTTATGTTTATATAATAAATATGTCAGTTCATTTTTTACTCAGTTGTAGAACATTTGAAGCGCAAGTTAGGGTCGGTAAAGTAATCTGCTAATGGCTGTTGCACAGGTTTAATATTGCCATGCCGGTAAATTGCTTGGCAACGTTAATAAAAAAATACAAATAGCCTTCAAGCAAGATCTTAAAATGGCGAAGGGAATTGATTGGTTAGTCTGCACTGTTAAAAATATCTGGTTCTTTACCAAATATGTACTGTTATTTTTTACAGTAAGTATACTATAATCATAAATTACAGTATAAACACTCGTGAGTAAAGCTTCATACAGTTACATCAAAGCGGTCAGTGCAGAAACACGCGTGAGCAAAGCTCCATATACAGTTCAGTATCAAAGCGGTCAATGCAGAAACACGCGTGAGCAAAGCTCCATACAGTTATATCAAATCGGTCAGTGTAGAAACACATCATAACAACATTTAGTATAATTACATAGGTGATTATTGAAAATTCTCCACGCTGATTGGTTGCCGTTGAGGTGATTATTACGCGATAATCACCTAAGCGATTTTCAAAATGGCGGCCGAAGCCTTTTTGTCAATTAAATGACGAAGAAATGTGTATTTTCTTATTTTTTTTCCAAATAATCACCTATGAAATTATACTAAAACAATTATTCACCTCAGGCTCGGTGATTATCGTGAATAAAAACCTCGACTTCGTCTCGGTTTTTATTCACCGATAATCACCTCGCCTTCGGCGAATAATTGTTAATTAGTAACTGGAGTCATAATTGTTTTGTCTTGGTATGTGTCCAAATCATTGATGTACCTAGTGTGGCACAGCACCTCTTTGCAACCTACAATCACTTTCAGAAGTTGTTGGGACACATGTAGTTTTAGCTGGTAAGTGGATCATTACAGTTTTTTACACACAATACCGCTCCCTTCCCCTCCCCCTCCCCCCACCCCAATCAATGTTGTTTAAACCAAAACACATCAAACCCGACGAGAAATGGGACACAACATTGAACAGGGGGCGGGGGGGATTGTAGTTTGTTGAAATTCAAAGGTTTTGTCGCATCTGTCCCAAAACTTTTGAAACTGATTGTACCTACGCAGTAAGTTAAATATTTGGTTTATAATGACGTAACTTTACGTAATACTCAGTAGCGTAGCCAGCCCGACTATTTGGTCCCGCTATGCAAATATTTCCATGTTCATTGGCTGTGAAAACAATCAATTTCTAAAGAAATGAATAATGATAATAATTTTGAATTTGCATAGCGGGACTAAATTGTCGGGCTGGCTACGCCACTGGTAATACTAGTCGCTGATTGGCTAAGACTTACAGGTATCTGCGGCATTATATCGCAATTATCACGCGTGGAACCCAATTCGAAGCATTTGGCTAATAATAACCGCCATTTTTGAATCAAATAAGTTTGACGATTGTAATTATATGTTCGACACCAACATTAATTTCGACATCTATCATCCATTCTATACTGGTTCACATGTAATTATTTAAAATAATTAACCTGGTAATTGCCGGTTGACGCGCCATATGTATCTCTGTTTCCGCATTTTCTAAGCTATCATGCATGCATAACTGCATTGTATATATGTGTTTCTAAAGGTAACTTGCTTGGTTAATATAAACGTGGCCAACTAATCAAATGATATTTTCATAATGTTGGAAGAAATAATCTCTTGTTTCTTGTCATTGTTTTCTGCCTTAGCTTTGGATGCTCCGCGACTTTCTCGAAAATTGAAGGAGAATACAAGTCCATCAGAACAACGAACACGCTTTTCGTGGAAGGATTATTGCCCGTAATGAACATAGCTCGGGCTATCTATTCTATCTGGTGTCTCGAGTTTACTTAAAACAGCAACTCTTGATTTTCGTGAGAAAGTATGGGCGCGAGTTATCAGGTTTCTGAACAGAACATGCTGCTGACACCGAGATCCAAAATATACTTGTTGAGAACAATTCACTGATTCTAAGCCAATCGTACATCGTTTTATATACCATTACAAACTTTCACCTCTCTGATTGGTCTGTCCTGAAGTCACCTTTAACGAGAATTGCTATTGGATTAGTGTTTGAATTCGTGTTCAACTTTTTGTCTACTTTTGTTCGCATACATTGGTATAATATTCCCATAGCGCGAGTGTGGTACAAGTACTGGAAACGACATGTGCTTGCTAATGGAACCGTTGTTGCAGTTTTAGTATGTCATTTTACTAATCCCTTGCTCGCAAAATTTCAAGATCGTTTTCATGATTCTGATGCAGGGTATTATACTATTAGAAATTGTACTCTGTCTTATGAAAGCTGGCGTTGATTTGATCGTTTGTTGTAAGCTCTCCTCACTTGTTAACTACAGACAATTTTCTGTAATTTTTATCAATGTTATTATAGTAATGTTAGCATAATATTTTTCATTTATTTTTTGAATAGTAATATCAGCATATTTTTTTAATGACTTTAGCATGGGCATGTTAGATCATAGTCTGTCAAGATGATAGTCTGGAAGCCTGGCAAACTTCAAAGCCACAAAATAGAAGACCTTTGTTTGATATTGAACTGTAGTAATCATCGTGGTTGCACTCTCACATACCTCAGCTGTCCCTATTGGATGGCTACTTGATTATACGAAAATACAACGAGCTCAATTAATTACCGTGACCGTGCACAAATTAACATAAACTCAGACAACAACATGACACAATGACTTCACTTCAAATATTGATAGACTATTTTCACAACCAATCCTCTGTGCCTCATCACACGGACGTTTTTGAGACTATCAATCCTAAAAATCTTCCTGGTCTCCTCCAGAAGACCAATAGGGGACCCTATAGGACTATTCGTTCGACAAGGTCGACATGACATAGATCAACTCGCTACGTTTAGGTCCAAAACGCTATTTAACCTCACTGAATTTAGTTAGTGCCCTTCAATCACTTCGTATCCGCGATCACATTGTTATAAAATCTGCTGATAAGGTGCTGCCTTGGTAATTTAGAAAGCTGACTTGTATCACAGTGAAGCCCATCGACAATGACGTGACATTGCTTTTTACAGTAGCGTTGACAAGAATTTGACCTCTACTCATCAAACCTACTACTGTTTTGGTTCGTTTGGCTGAATTGGTACTCACCCTCAACAATTTTTCCTCTGATGGTGAGCATTACCAACAGGTAAGTGATGTAGCCATGGGAACTAATATGGGTACTAAACTATGCTAAGTAATTTGTTGGTTTTGTGGGAAAACAGCTCTTCAATACACTGATCTGATATCTGACCATACCAAAAGGTCGATTCTCTTCTTGTAGTTCCTTCGTCTTCGCCGCATTTGCAGTGAAGGTGAGGACTTCCAAGCCAAAAGTTTGGAAATGTGGGACTATCATGCCACGCGGCTATCACACCGCTCCATTAGACACTGCTTTTTCGAAGGTCGTCCAAATCCCCCGATCTGAGACTCTCATTGACCCTGTGTCTAATGTCACAAGAAATAACCGAATCCCCTATTTCCATATCCACAAAAACGACCCTCAAACATCTTCCACTTTCTCTGATAACCCCCTCAGAGTCTCTTTTCGACACAGAAAAATATCCGAGAAACGCTATAGACCTTACAGTTCTAAATATCTTTGTATCGTCGGCAAAGGTTGCGATAGTTGAATTATCCACTGTTTCAATGAGATGATTCTCGTTGCTACGGTGAGATGATTCTCCGCGTTACCTCTTCAGCGAAAGAACTCTCGTTGCTTCGATAACATGATTCTCGTTGCGTCGGTGAGAGGATTCATTTCTCGTGGCTTCGATGACATGATTCTCACCTCACTGAAGATGATTCTCATCTCACTGAAGATGTACGTAACATCACTGTAAATTTGTGTCGTCACACCAACAGACTCGGCATTCGCTTCATTTATGCAAAGCAGATGCTCTATCCAGTCCAGGTTTTGAGGTCAGTTACGTTTGGTTGTGGTTCAGAGTCCGACCATTGACCAGGTGTGTGACCACTAGAAGGAACTACGTACGGCAGCAAAACACTAGTCTCTAGACTTGCTTGACAATTCATGTCAAAGACGGGAAACTTGTCTTGCATGGGAAAGTCGTCCATGAAATCATGTTCTCATTTTGCCTCTATTTTATTTTTGTTTTGCCTTTCCAAATAAGGAAATCCCCCCCCCCCCCCCGCGGATGCATTGACATCGTAACAATATTTAGTAACTAGAGTCATAATTGTTTTGCTTTGGTATCCATCCAAATCATTAAAGTTTACCACCTACTAAGCCACCTACGCAGGAAGTTCCACATTTGGCCTATAATGACGTAATTTTATGTAATACTATAGCTTCTGATTGGTTAAGACTTAGCTACATGGTATCTGCTGCAACGCTGAATTATATCGCACTTATCACGCGTAGAACCGAATTCGAAGCATTTGGCTCCTAATAAACGCGACATTAGAACCAAATAAGATTAACGACACCAATATTAAGTTCGAGATCTATTCTATCCTTCCTATATTGCTCCATATATCTAATTAAAGGCTAGTTTCCACTCAGGAAAATTATCCGTGTATTGGAACGGACAAGAAAATTTCTTTGTCTTGTGAGCTCTGAATTGGAACTAATGACTTTAACACGAAGAAAAATTTTCTTGTCCATTCCAAATCCACGGATAATTTTCCCGAGTGGAAACTAGCCTTAAAATATGATAATTGCCGGTTGACTCCTATCTCTGATTCCGCATTTCTGATCTAAGATAGATATCATGCAGGCACAACTGCATTGTATATGTGACTTTAAATAAAGAGGTAATTTGGTTAATTAAATAAACTTTGCCAATCAACTGACATTTTCACAATGTTGGAAGAAATAATCGCTTGTTTCTTGTCATTGTTTTCTGCCTTAACTTTGGATCCGCCACGACTTTCTCGGAGAGAAATGAACGACAATACAAGTGCATCAGAACAACGTACACGCTACACATGGGAGGATAAAATTCACAAAGAATACGTCTCGTTTGAAGAAGATAATCTACCATCAGAAACAGAGTATGTACAACTAGGGCATGAACTGCGAAACAGGCCTAGTTATATCCAGTCATTACTCAGAAGTTTGAGGGCGAACTTTACCATAACCTTAGCCGTACTGCCTTTGGCACTTATAGGGATGGCTCTTATATATTTTGATTTAAGAACAGTTGATTTATGTTCTGAATGGGAGGCTAAAAACTACACTTTTTCATTTGACATTCAGAGAATAAAGTTAATCGGCGAAGGATTTCAGACAGCCATATTGTATCTCGCGGGTCCCTTGTTTTTGCTTGTCTTATTTGGTTGGAGAGAATTTAAGCGTTATTATTCCTCAACGATACTAGTAGGCCAACTGGCTGGTTTATTTAATACACTATTTTTAAGTTTTTTACTCCTATATGGTATTGAAGATACCAGTCCAATCAAAGCTTACAACGTTCCTGGAAATTTAATATTTGCTGTCGCTACTCTCTGGGAATCTGCAATTGTGATGCGCAATATTCGACAAAATCATCCAACTATATCCTACTCACGTCGCCATATTTTCTCTGTTCTTGCAGTACCGGTATTGAGCACCTTGGCAATGGCAGTGTTTTACAAATACGCGGTTGTCAAGTGGTTTAATTCCCTCCGCCATAATGTGTTGTATAAATTCATATTGGCCATCTTGACACCGACCTTAGCATTGGTGCCGACTACCATATGTAGGCATATGGCATTATGGCGTACTTCAGAGATTATCGAGCCAGAACGAAGCTTTGCGTTGGTTTATTTCGTACGGGCAATGTTCATTACTTTGTATCGTATCATGCAATCAGACTTTAAGAATATTTGGCTGTTTGTTGGGCTATCTTTTCTATCTGGTGTCTCGAGTTTACTTAAAACAGCGACTGTCGGTATTCGTGAGAAAGTATGGGCGCGAGTCATCAGGTTTCTGAACAGAACTTGCTGTACAAGACTTCACCATTTGCCAGGAAACACACCGCATCATAGGCGGCTTAAAGCAGACACCGAGATACAAAATATACTTTTTGAGAACAATTCACTGATTCTAAGCCAATCCTACATCGTTTTATATACGATTACAAACTTTCACCTCTCTGATTGGTCTGTCGTGAAGTCATCTTTAACGAGAATTGCTATTGGATTAGTGATTGAATTCGTGTTCAATGTTTTGTCTACTTTTATTCACATACAATGGTATAATATTCCCATAGCGCGAGTGTGGTCCAAGTATTGGAAACGACATGTGTTTGCTAACGCAATCATTGTTGCAGTTTTAGTATACTATTTTACTCAACCCTTGCTCGCAGTATTTCAAGATCGTTTTCATGATTCTGGTACAGGGAATTATACTATTAGAACTAATTGTACTCTGCCTTATGAATACTGGCGTTGATTTCATAAACAGTCGTTTGCAAATGTGTGGTGCGTCTGTCTGGACAGTGATCTCTCTTACTTCTCTATTATGGACAATTTCCTATTATTTTTATGTTGTTTCCTATTATGACTTTAATGTTATCATAGTTTTAGCAATTATTGGATTAATTTCACACAAAGAACCGCTGAAATATCTCGGGCTCCATCCAATAACCTCTACAGATTACTGTTTCGGATGAAAATAGTGACTTTATATGACTTTAATGTTATCATATAATATCATAGTAATGTTACTGCATAATATTTTTTAATGACTTTAGCATGGACCGATTTAACGTTTATTTGACGTGATGTTGAAATGTTTGAATTTTATTGTAACATGCTTACATGCACGACCCCTATGAATACCAGCGTCTAGTTCAAGCTGACTGGGGCAATCTTGATTAAACAAGACGCTCTACGGAGCGTTAACTCGCTGGGGCTATACAAATACGCACATTACTGTACATGATCATACATGATACATACAGTACACAGCCACAGAATAAAGATCAGTAACAGAAGGGCCACTCAGCGGTGCAACGTGTCCTCGTTTTTTTATGCAAAAATATGCAGTTTACTGGCCAGAAGGTGGAGCAGCCAGCCAGTACAGCGTGTTTATTGGCCAGAAAATGTCATCGACTGGCTAGGAAAATGGCGGCCAACATGCGTAATGCGACATACGCGAGGACGGAAACTTCAAAGCTTCCGACGTAAGTGGCCCTTCTATATGGATTATTCTATGACACAGCTATTTCAATTAAGATTTAAGGTTTTCCGCCAGCTAAGCGGAAAAGTCGAAAACGAGCGCGACAGGCTTAACACGATACTAAAATGCGGTAGGCCCTACCCTACTGGCTACAAGTAAAGTTATATTTAGTACGCTACATTCTTCAAGACTGTCAGCCGCCAGTTGCTCCTTACGCTAGGATTAAACTGCGCTTTAAAACGTTCAAAATAAAATATTTTTTGGGTTTTGGGCTCAAAATGCTATCAAAATGAAGAGAGAAGTGAGACGAATCCACTGGTATACGGCCGAAAAAGAGAAAACCAATGATACCAAAGTTATCAAGGATCAAACGTACTGCATTTCGTTTTATAATTAGAATAATTAGTTTAATAATTTTGAGCGACACTTTAACAAAAGACCATTGTTATGCAAACTATATAAAGATTTTTATATAAAGATTTTTATATAAAGATTTTTATATAAAGATTTGACTTATTATGCATACGTTTTTGAAGTCATTTAAAAAACTCGCGGGTCGTGTTTTATTAGGTCTAAAGCCACTCGCGCTGCGCGCTCGTGGCTTTAAACCTAATAAAACACGACCCGCGAGTTTTTTAAATAGTACGTAAAGAAAAAATTTAAGAAAGTTTTCATTATTATTATTATTATTATTATTATTATTATTATTATTATTATTGGAATCTAAAATACATGAAGAAGACAATATAGCCTTAATTGCCATGCATTTACATTAAAATTAGTAAATATATAAAATTTACATTGTTTGTATATTAACAGTATTACCTTAACTAGACTATAGATAATTTAATTCAAATAATTTAACTCATTGACCCTGTGTCCAATGTTACAGGAAATAACTGAATCCCCTAGTATTAACTTATCCTTTTAATTTTAAAGATATATCATTAGGAAAAATTTTCATGTTTTAAAAAACGACCCTCAAACATCTTCCATTTTTTCGGATAACCTCCTATTCTCTTTTCGGCACAGCAAAATATGTAGACCTACAGTTCTAAAGATCTTTGTATCCGCGTCGGCAAAGGTTGCCTCGGGGATATGTGTTTATTCACCTCGGCGCTGCGCGCCTCGGTGAATAAATCACATATCCCCTCGTTCCCTCAAAATAACCTATACTTATTTCAGATCAGTGGGTAAAATTAGTTCTAATTTTCCCCTGCATGCTTGACGAGGGATATTAGTGAGCTTTAGATTTGACTACGAGTACGACTACGAGTACGAGATTTGATCGCGTGCGAGGAAATTACCGTAGTCGTTTTCGTTTCCATTCAAATGTTGCTTTTATAACAGTAAAACAACAACTAGAGAAAAAGTTTCATAAAGTAAATCTCCTGCCGACTAAAATCCCCTACAAAACGTGTAAATAAGTCATAACATTAAAAACAGACCAGATATTTAGCACTAATATATTATTTGCGCCGGATAAACGCTATATAAATGCTACAAATTATTTTTGGAAAACAAAAAAAAGTCAACTTTCTTTGTTTTTTTTGAAAAGTCGTCGTGAGGACTACGAGGTTTCTCCACAATTTCGTACTCAGATGGGCGACGGCTACGACTTTTTAGCGTCAGTACGGGATGGCGTAAGCATACAGCATGCGTTTAGCTTGACGAATCTCGTACTCGTAGTCGTAGTCAAATCTAAAGCTCCCTATTTAGAAGACAAACGCGTACCTCATTACCTCTGATTGGAGAGCTGTACCTCATCGAAAATCATCGGCACAACTATGGACAGTATCTGACGACACCGTCCCGTACACATTCGAACAATCACTTTGCCAGCTTTTATTCCCTAATCTTGAACATTTCAATTGTGGGAGAAAATTCCGTTTATGCGCATGCCTAAAACGAATGAACACGGAGATGTGTTTCTGCGCGTGCGTATATATGAAAAGTGTTCGTACCACAATCATAAGACAATCAAACAGCATTCAAAACAGGCAACACACCACGCGCGACTCCCTCGGCAACTATGATATTACAAAGTAATAGCATGGCATTACGGTCGATTAGTGATGAAATGTTACTTATAATAATTGACCTGATAATACTGCATAATATGTTTTTAATGACTTTGTAATGGCATGTTAGATGTAACCTTTATTTAACGTAATGTATGAATTTTATTATAACATGCACGCAAAGGCGTAACTAGAGCGTTAATTGGGTATATATTCATATATTCATGTTCTGCCCGACGAATTTCTTTTGAATTTCTTTATTTTTAAGTTCATTTCAAAAGAAATTAGTCGGGCAGAACACGAATATATGAATATACCCCCCCTCCCCCCCAATTAACGCTCTAGTTACGCCACTGCATGCACGGCACCTATCTACGCAGCGTCTAGTTCAAGCTGACTGGGCCAATCCTGCTTAAAAAAGTTGTTATCTAACTAGACACAGTATTACATAGACCCATTGGTCCACCAGATCCATAGCAAAAATTTTCGTTGAAAAATTGAAATTGAAGTTCGTTATTCCACTACTGAATAGCGATTCGTTTCAAGTTGTCCGCCAGATGTCGACATGTCGTGTATCAAGGACGGATCTTGCCAGTTCTGGTAGGGGTGCTAGTCGAGCTTTGGCACTGATCTTATCTAGGACTTGATAACTTGGAAGAGGTTCCGATCCTACGCCCCTTCTAATGAGTTTTAGGTCGTTTTCGGTCGAGTTCGAGGAGATAAAGAGACTTGACGTGGCCACATTGGTGTGACCTAATTAGTTACTCACGAAAGACAGGCCACCGTTGATAAATTTCTACTCAGACGTAAAATGTTATCCTTTCTCACCAATTAGAAGAAACTGTAACCACCCGAGAACGGGCCTTCTCTGGGTATTGATTTCTGTCACTGTCTCATCCTCGTTCCCCAGGATTCTCGGCTGGCTGCGAGGTCCTGGGAACGAGGATGTTACTGTCTTTGCTTCTCTGATATTATGGTTGCTTAACTTCCTTGTCAAACAAACTGTTGATATTGATTATCGAAACACAACAAGGTTTCAGTGTATAACAAATAACGTGATTCTCTGTTCAAAACAAGTTACTTTAAGGACACTACTTGGTTAAATAAACCTGGTAATCAATCGATTTTTTCACAATGTTGGAAGAAATAATCGCATGTTTTTTGTCATTGTTTTCTGCCTTAACTTTGAATGCTCCGCGACTTTCTCGAGAGTTGAACGACAATGCAAGTCCATTGAACCAACGAACACGCTATACATGGGAGGATAAAATTCACGAAGAATATGTCTCGTTTGAAGAAGATAATATACCATCAGAAACAGAGTATGTACAACTAGGGTACGAACTACGAAACAAGCCTAGTTATATCCAGTCATTACTCAGAAGTTTGAAGGCGAACTTTACCATAACCTTAGCTGTACTGCCTTTGGCACTTATAGGGATGGCTCTAATATATTTTGATTTAAGAACAGTTGATTTATGCTCGGAATGGGAGCCTAAAAACTACACTCTTTCATTTCATATCAGGAGAATAAGACTAATCGGCAACGGATTTCAGAAAGTGATATTGTATCTCGGGGTTCCGTTGTTTTTGCTTGTCTTATTTGGTTGGAGCGAATTTAAGCGTCATTATTCTTCAACTATCCTAGTAGGCCAACTGGCTGGTTTATTTAATACATTATTTTTAAGTTTTTTACTCTTATATGGTATTGGTGATACCAGTCCAATCAAAGCTTACAACCTTCCTGGAATTTTAATATTTGCTGTCGCTAATCTCTGGGAATTTGCAATTGTGGTGCGCAATATTCAACAAAATCATCCAACTGTATCCTACTCAGGTCGCCATATTTGCTCGATTCTTGCTGTACCGGTATTGAGCACCTTTGCAATGGCAGTGTTTTACAAATACGCGGTTGTCAAGTGGTTTAATTCCCTCGATAATGTGTTGTATAGATTCATTTTGGCCATCTTGACACCGACCTTAGCACTGGTGCCGACTACTATAATTAGGCATATGGCATTATGGCGTACTTCAGAGATTATCGAACCAGAGCGAAGCTTTGCGTTGGTTTATTTCATACGGGCAATGTTCATTACTTTGTATCGTATCATGCAATCAGACTTTAAGAATATCTGGCTGTTTGTCGGACTATCTCTTCTATCTGGTGTCTCGAGTTTGCTTAAAATAGCGACTGTCGGAATTCGTGAGAAAGTATGGGCGCGAGTTATCAGGTTTCTGAACAGAACTTGCTGTACAAGACTTCACCATTTGCCTGGAAACACACCACATCATAGGCGGCTTAAAGCAGACACCGAGATACAAAATATACTTTTTGAGAACATTTCACTGATTCTGAGCCAATCCTACATCGTTTTATATACGATTGCAAACTTTCAGCTTTCTGATTGGTCTGTCGTGAAGTCATCTTTAACGAGAATTGCTATTGGATTGCTGATTGAATTCGTGTTCAACTTTTTGTCTACTTTTGTTCGCATACAATGGTATAATATTCCCATAGCGCGAGTGTGGTCCAAGTACTGGAAACGACATGTGTTTGCTAACGGAATCGTTGTTGCAGTTTTAGTATGCCATTTTACTAACCCCTTGCTTGCAATATTCCAAGATCGTTTTCATCATTCTGGTGCAGGGAATTATACTATTAGAAATTGTACTCTGCCTTATGAAAGCTGGCGTTGATTTCATAAACAGTCGTTTGTTGTAAGCTCTCCTTACATGTTGACTATAAACAATTTTCTGTAATTTTTATGTTATTATAGTAATGTTAGCATAATATGTTTCATTTCTTTTTTGAATAGTAAAATCAGCATATTTTTGAATGACTTTAGCATTGGCAAGTTAGATCATAGTCTGTCAAGATGATGATCTGGAAGCCTGGCAAACTGCAAAGCCACAAAATAGAAGACTTGTGTTTGATATTGAACTGTAACATTATTCATCGTGGATGCACTCTCACATATCTCAGCTATCCCTATTGGATGGCTACTTGATTATACGAAAATACAACGAAATAAACTCAGACAACAACATAACACAATGACTTCACTTCAGATATTGATAGACTATTTTCACAACCAATCCTCTGTGCCACACAAGGACGTTTTTGAGACTATCAATTTTTCCAATTTTTCTCTGATGGTGAGCACTACCAACAGGTAAGTGGTGTAGCCATGGGAACTAATATGGGTCCTATGACAAATAACTTGTTGGTTTTGTGGGAAAACAGATCTTCGAACAATGTTGTTCCAAGTTGTTACAGTTGAACAATGCTGTAACAACATGTTGACAATACTGTTCATAGTGGGCCGCACAACTTTGTTCACGCCTAGCTGTTGATATCAACCTGGAACAAGTTGTTGATTTTCTCAATTTTTACGCGTGTAATTTCTTCTACCCACACCAACCACACCAAAAGGTCGATTCTCTTCTTGCAGTTCCTCCGTCTCTGCCGCATTTGTAGTGAAGATTTAATATGATTTAATGAGATTCGGTTAATATAGCGCCAGGGAGTTCGCCACAAGTTTCCCCAATTGCGGCGACCCCATAATTAACTTTACGTTTACAATAATTTTAACAGTCGAAACGAACTAATTTAAGACAAAGTACAATCGGTGCAAGAGACAACTAACAACAACTTAAAACACCATCAAGGGACCTAGCCCTTTGCATTTAACGCACACAGATTTCCAAGTTCGCGGATCGTCATACTTATAAATATTAGATAGCGCGTATTTGTAGTACGTCTTTAGACCAGATTTGAAAGCTTGCAGGCCAATATCTCTATTACGGAGGAACACGAGGACTTCCAAGCCAAAAGTCTGGAAATGAGGGACTATCATCCAACGCGGCTATCCCACCTCTCTATTAGACACTGTCTTTTGGAAGGTCGCCCAATCCCCCGATCTGAGACTCTCATTGACCCTGTGTTTAATGTCACAAGAAATAACCTAATCCCCTAGTTCTAACTGACCATCCTTTTAATTTTCAAGTAAGAGATATCATTGGAAGAATTTCCACGTCTAGAAAAACGACACTCAAACATCTTCCACTTCCTCCGATAACCCCCTAGTCTCTTTTCGACACAGAAAAATATCCGAGAAACGCCATAGACCTTACAGTTCTAAATATCTTTGTATCGTCGGCAAAGCTTGCGATAGTTGAATTATCCACTGTTTCAATTAGATGATTCTCGTTGCTTCGGTGAAATGGTCTTCGTTGCGTCGGTGAGATGATTCCCCGCGTTGCTTCTTCAGTGAGATGATTCTCGTTGCGTCGGTGAGAGGATTCTCGTTAAATAACTTTCTAATAATAAAATAATAATAAAAATGTCCCCTCCCCCCGCGGATGCATTGACATCGTAACAATATTTCGTAACTAGAGTCATAATTGTTTTGTCTTGGACGCAGGAAGTTCCTCATTTGGCCTATAATGACGTAATTTTATGTAATACTAGTTTCTGATTGGTTAAGACTTACATGATATCTGCTGCACCGCTGAATTATATCGCACTCGTCAAACGTGGAACCTAATTAGAACCTAATTTTTAGGTTGTCACTTTTCATTCGTGAGATATGCGGCTCTAAACAGCGATTTCGTGAAAATGTGAGTAAAATGTCGCGTATCAACAAGAGTCTGTGACGAGCGTGGTGTGACGTAGCTTAAGGAACTTAATCACGGCGGGCATTATATTTTGTATGTTTTCCAGCACTCATGGTTCTCAATGTGACTCAGAATACAATTATATTTCTGGGTATATTACAGAGGATGATTCAAATGATACCAGTCACGAAATTGGGACTCTAGAAGCACTTGCTAACAAAATCTTAGGCGATTATGATGCATGCCTTTATGCCGATGAACCGCTACTAAGCGAGCGAAGAATGCTACGTGTGATATCTAAAAAATATGCGGAAAACTATAAAGAAATGTATAATGCTCGTCGTGATTAAGTTCCTTAAGCTACGTCACACCACGCTCGTCCCAGACTCTTGTTGACACGCGACATTTTTACGAAAATCGCTCTTTAGGGCCGCATATCTCGCGAATGAAAAGAAAAAACCGAAAAATGTTAAAGAACCTATTTTAACTAACTTTGTCCGCTACCCAAAAATCAAAAAAAATTTTGCGACATAAGTATTTTATTAAGTCAACTTGGTAATCAACTGACATTTTCTCAATGTTGGAAGAAATAATCGGTTGTCTCTTGTCATTGTTGTCTGCCTTAACTTTGGATGCGCCACAGCTATCTCGGCGACACGGCTATCACGCTACACATCGGTGGATAAATAAACTACCGTCAGAAACAGAGTATGTACAACTAGGGTATGAACTGCGAAACTAGCCTAGTTATATCCAGTCGTTACTCAGAAGTCTGAAGGCGAACTTTACCATAACCTTAGCTGTACTGTCTTTGGTGCTTATAAGGATGGCTATTATATATTTTGATTTAAGAACAGTCGATTTATGTTCGGAAATGGAGAATAAAAACTACAATTTTTCATTTGATGTTAGGAGAATAAGATTAATCGGCAAAGTATTTCAGGAAGTGATATTGTATCTCTCGTTTCCCTTGTTTTTGATTGTCTTATTTGGTTGGAGCGAATTTAAGCGTCATTATTCCTCAACGATCTTAGTAGACCAACTGGCTGGTTTATTTAATACATTATATTTAAGTTTTTTACTCGTACATGGTTGGTATTGATGATACCAGTCTAATTAAAGTTTACCACCTAGTGTGCCACCTACGCGGCAAGAAGTTTCACATTTGGCTTATAATGACGAAATTTTATGTAATACTAGTTGCTGATTGGCTGAAACTTACATGGTATCAGCTGCAATGCTGAATTCTATCGCACTTATCACCTAATTCGAAGCATTTGGCTCATAAAAAGCGCGACATTTGAATCGGCAAATATTAAAGTTCGACATCTATTCTATCCATTCCATATTGGTTCACATGTAATTAATAAAATAATTAACCTAATATATTGCCGGTTGACGCGCCATGTATTACCGTTTCCGCATTTCTGATCTAAGATATCATGCAGGCACAACTGCATTGTATATCTGACTATAAATAAAGAGGTAACTTGGTTAAATAAACTTTGCTAATCGATTGATATTTTCACAATGTTAGAAGAAATAATCGCTTGTTTTTTGTCATTGTTTTCTGCCTTAACTTTGGATGCTCCGCGACTTTCTCGAGAATTGAACGACAATACAAGTCCATCAGAACAACGTACACGCTATACATGCGAGGATATAATTCACAGAGAATACGTCTCGTTTGAAGAAGATAATCAACCATCAGAAACAGAGTATGTACAACTAGGGTATGAACTGCGAAGCAAGCCTAGTTATATCCAGTCATTACTCAGAAGTTTGAAGGCGAATTTTACCATAACCTTAGCTGTACTGCCTTTGGCACTTATAGGGATAGCTCTTATATATTTTGATTTAAGAACAGTTGATTTATGTTCAGAATGGGAGACTAAAAACACTTTTTCATTGGATATTATAAGAATAAGATTACTCGGCAAAGGAGTTGCGAACTTGATATTGTATCTCTCGTTTCCCCTGACTTTGATTGTTTTATTTGGTTGGAAAGAATTTAAACGCGATTATTCTTCAACTTGATCCTAGTGAGCCAACTGGCTGGTTTATTTAATACATTATTTTTAAGTTTTTTGCACCTATATGGTATTGATGATACCAGTCCGATCAAAACTTACGCCGTTCCGCCAATTTCAACATATGCTATCGCTATTCTCTGGGAATCTGCAATCGTGGTGCGCAATATTCAACAAAATTACCGAACTGTATCCTACTCAGGTCGCCATATTTTCTCGGTTCTTACAGTACCGTTTTTGAGCACCTTGGCAATGGCAGCATTTTACAAATACGCGGTTGTCAAGTGGTTTAATTCCCTCCATAATATGTGGTATAGATTCATAATGGCCATCTTGACACCGACCTTAGCACTGGTGCCGACTACTATATGTAGGCATATGGCATTATGGCGTACTTCAGAGATTATCGAGCCAGAACGAAGCTTTGCGTTGGTTTATTTTATACGGGCAATGTTCATTACTTTGTATCGTATCATGCAATCAGACTTTAAGAATATCTGGCTGTTTGTCGGGCTATCTTTTCTATCGGGTGTGTCCAGTTTACTTAAAACAGCGACTGTCGGTATTCGTGAGAAAGTATGGGCGCGAGTTATCACGTTTCTGAACAGAACTTGCTGTACAAGACTGCACCATTTGCCTGGAAACACACCACATCATAGGCGGCTTAAAGCAGACACCGAGATACAAAATATACTTTTTGAGAACAATTCACTGATTCTAAGCCAATCCTACATCGTTTTATATACGATTACAAAGTTTCAGCTCTCTGATTGGTCTGTCCTGAAGTCATCTTTAATGAGAATTGCTATTGGATTAGTGATTGAATTCGTGTTCAACTTTTTGTCTACTTTTGTTCGCATACATTGGTATAATATTCCCATAGCGCGAGTGTGGTCCAAGTACTGGAAACGACATGTGTTTGCTAACGGGATCGTTGTTGCAGTTTTAGTATGCCATTTTACTAACCCCTTGCTCGCAATATTCCAAGATCGTTTTCATCACTCTGGTGCAGGGAATTATACTATTAGAAATTGTACTCTGCCTTATGAAAACTGGCGTTGATTTCATAAACGGTCGTTTGTTGTAACCTCTCCTTATTTCGCTATTATTATCATTATCATTATTATTATCATTGGAATCTAAAATACTTGAAGAAGACAATATAGCCTTAATTGCCATGCATTTACATTAAAATTAGTAAATATATAAAATTTACATTGTTTGTATATTAACAGTATATTACCTTAACTCTATAGATAATTTAAAATATTGAAGTTTATATTTAAAATATCAAAGTTAGTAAAACGTCATAAAACCTAGGGTCTCGCTAAGCTACTGTAATAGCAGTTTATAACGTGTACAAACGGACTATTCTTAAATCTTTCTGTTCTAAATTTAAAATTATAATACATTTTCGCATTGGATCTAGTTTCTCTTTGTCTTGTATCTCTAACGCGGTCTTGAAGTAGGTCGTATAGACGGTGCTCAGGCGAAAATAGATTTGCAAACCAGTCTATACAATGATTCTCGCGTCTTTCACTCAGTGTTCCCATCTTAAGATGGTTTAACGCTACAAAATATTCCACTCCAGGTAATATTCTTCTGAATGCTCTTTTCTGTACTCTTTCAATGTTTGTACTTTGAGCATTGGTCAGACCTCCATGCCACAACACATCTCCATATTCCAGAGTTGATCTAATTGACCATTTGCGTAATAGACTAAATTTTGATCTCAGCAAAAATTTCATTACAGCTTGAAAGAGCATCACAAAATTAGTAATATTCCAAAGTTTCGTTGCAAAATGTTGTAAAATGCGGAAAATATAGCCTTGCGAAGTTTGAAATTTTCAGTCATTTTAGATTACAAACCGGAAATTGACAGCCTCGAAGGGTTTGGGGCTGTCAATTTCCCGTTTGTAATCTAAAATGACTGAAAATTGCAAATTTAACAAGGCTATATTTTCCGCATTTTACAACATTTTGCAACGAAACTTTGGAATATTACTAATTTTGTGATGCTCCTTCAAGCTGTGATGAAATTTTGGTCTAGACTTGCTTAGTTCAAAAGTTAGTCTATTACGCAAATGGTCAATTATACTACAATAGAATTGTAGCAAATCCTGCGTTGGCACCCCATACCTTTTGAGCAATTTGAGAAAGTACAACCGCTTCCTTGCTTTCTTTACGATGTACTCAGTGTTACTATCCCATTTTAGATTGTCGTCAAGTCATGTTCCTAACAGTTTAAAAGAAGTGACCCTTTCAACTTCTGAGTCGTACATCTTAATACTTCTAATTGTAGTTTTCCTAACGCAAAAGTCAAAAATAATTTCTTTGCATGATTTTTTTACATTGAGTACCATTCTTTGTTCGCCACAAAAGGTTGATATCCTTTGGATATTAAGTTCCATGTTCCCAATTGGTTGATCCTACCCATGACTAGTCACATTCAACACTTCCGACAGCGTGGTATCATCTATAAACATCGAAACTTGTTCCGCATTAGTTGAATTGTCTGTCACTGCGACGTCCGGTGGGCGATTGATCTTAGCAATAAAAGACTAGGGATCCAAGGATAGTGTGAAGTTTCAAATTGAAAAGACACTGCAAGAACTATATAGGGTCGCCGACAACCTAGAAAAGCTGATGACTTACGCTACGAAATAAACAGTTACCAAAGGCATTTCATCTCATTATTTATTGCTTTTAATACGCTCGGCACACAAGTAGCGTGACGTTTGAAACAAGCCTAACACATCAGAAACTTGCCTTGTGAAATTGATGCAATTTATCTATTTATTGTGATGCTATACACGCGACAATTCGAAATTTAAATTGTTTTACCAACAACCAAATTTTGCATATTCTAAATTTTCATTTGCATTTGCAGCTGTCGCTAAAAGCATCCACACGAGGCTACTGCTATGCTAAATTTATCTAAAACTATAATTGAAATAGCTGTATAAGATATGTTATGAATAATAAGCACTACGTCGTTAGATCATTAAAAGGACGCGTTTTATCCTCATCCGTTCCGTATTTTATCCGCATATCCGTTCGGTGGATCCGCTTCCGCATTTTAACCCAATTGTGACATGTTTTACAATAACAAGTCTCATTGACCTTTGACTTTTCCCAGTGTCACGTCTATTTTCAGCTTGTCGCATGTGTTGAATAATGTCCCTTTAAATTTCAATAGTTTCACAGTTAAGCAGTGTTTAAAGCAGTTTTGACAAGCTTTGATACAGTTATGTGTACATAATACTACTACAGATTGATTCTCGTACGATCTGGTAGAGTTATCATTGAACTGTACACGAATTTGCACCGTTGACAACAGCGTTGTGCTATACAGTAAACAAAGGTCAAAGACAAGGTCAGTGACTACATGTACCTCCTTGCTTTTTTCTTCTATTGCATAAAGCTTGTTGCCTGTTGGTGGGCCAAGCGATTGGCGATAACAAGTTGGCGATAACACATTCGCTATCTCCTCGTCTTTCTTATTTAAATAAGGAGCTCTGACTTAACTGATTTCTTTAATAGTCTCGCAAGTTATTTTCTTCGTAAACGCCGTACAAAAGTTTGCCCGCTTCTGTTTAATAGTTGTTTATGCTTTATTGATCTGATACAGATCTGATGCAATTTTTCGCTCTTTGTACTGAGTGTAGCTATCTATTCTGTGATGTAGCACCTTATACAGTCAATGACAATGTACAATGAATACACGGTCCGTAAATACTATCGATGGGCACTTACCTGAATGCCAGTAATGCATAACATAAACTTACATATTGTATTATTGCGTAGAATCTCAAAGATTTTCTCAATATTCTTGTCTGAAATGTTTATATACTTGAAAACAACACTGTCTCGCTTGTGCCTACGTACTGTACCTCTGTATAATGAGTATGCCGTGAAAATAATATCGGCACTCAATTGAATGCCTAGAATGTCAAAGATTTTCGACTCAATATTTACGTCTGAAATGTTTATACACTTGACTGCACTGCGGTCTAGGCGATCTAGCTCCTTCCTAGCTCTGTATAATGAATATACCGTCTAAATATTATCGGCACTTAATTGAACGCCCGTAATGCATAAGATCAATTTGTATTTTGCGTAGATTTTCAAAGATTTACTCAATATTCACGTCTGAAATGTTTATACATCTGAAAACAGCACTGTCACTCCTTCCTAGCATATCGTCACGCCATCGTGATGTATGGCTTGATAGCGCATGCGCATTTGCGCTACTAAAGAAAAAATCGGGTGTTCCGGGGTAAAGATCCTTTACACAACATGAGAAGCGAATGTTCTAAAATTTAAAAAAATTACAATAACGAAAGCGACTCCTCGAAATTTTTGTGAACTTGGCAAGAGGATAACAGAATATGTAAATAAGTTAACTGAAATTGCCTAAATAACCTTCAAAGTACTGACTAAGTACAATAAATCACTGCGAACATAAATCGTATACACCCTCCGGAAAGTTTACTCTATGACTGACTGTTTGACTGACTGACTGATTCGTGTGAATTTGCCAGCCATCACAATAGTGTGAAGTTTACTTCACACTAAAAAGGGGCCGATCTTGTTCCCTTGTGGTACGCCAGCGTTAATATTGCGGAAATCTGACAACTTCCCCTCACATTGGACTCTTTGTCTTACGGACATATTGTCTTACGGACTATTTTCTATAATCTTTATGTTATTATAGTAATGTTAGCATAATATTTTCATTTATCTTTTGAATAGTAATATAAGCATATGCAATGATTTTAGCATTGGCATGTTAGATCATAGTCTGGCAAGATATGATGGTCTGGAAGCCTGGCAAACTTCAAAGTCACAAAATAGAAGACCTTTGTTTGATATTCAACAGATGGGAAATTTGTCTGAGCATGCGCGAGCAAAATGAGCCACGCAATTGCGTGGAATAAATACACGTAACGCGTGTTTACAAAAAGCAGCAATTGTGTAAATATTGCCAAATATTTGGTACAAAATAAATGACTGTTTTATGTTGAAAATGGATATGATCTAAATTAATCATAAATAATTTTTTAGTGATGTTCTATTTCAGTACCCTGCCATTGTCCCTAGTCTGCTGTCCGTGTGCATTCGATCTGAAACAGTTTACTTTATATTAGTCAATGTAATGAAAGAAATGGAAGTTCATTATCCCACCACTGAATAGCGGTTCGTTTCAAGTTGTCCGCCAGATGTCGTGTATCAGGGATGGATCTAGTCAGTTCTAGTAGGGGGTTCCAGTCGAGCTTCGGCACTGATCTTATATCTAGGACTGGATAGAGCTTCTTTACCTATGCTGTGTAGCGATATAAAGAGTTCAATTTCGCCCGCGAATTAAAGCTGAATCTGTATCAATCTCATAACCTTTCATACGGCAAACTCAAACTATCTCTTGCATCTTTTAATTTCTTCTTTGTTTAGTTTGTTTGAAACTAGTTTAAAAGAAGAAAACAAGAGAAAGGCAAACGGAGTTTCTTCGTTTGCCTTTCTCTTGTTTTCTGTATCTTATCTATGAGCGTCTCTATTTTGTATTGATAGCAGATGTCTCCCGTCCTAACCCACTCTAGTGACATACTTCCACGTGGCCGGTGGCACCTAAAATCTACGTGTCACGTGACCAGCCTGTGTCAGGGTTTTCGCTGCAGCGGGTTTCGGAGGGTAGCGAAAGTGAAAAGTCCGAGTATCAGGTTGTCAACGCTCCTTCTTTACTAGTCTCCCTCGCAGACGTTCTTATAGCTCTCACCCTCGCTAACGAACGTCTGCTGAAACGAGCTGCATATTCTATTCCCTTTGTTTTAGGAGCCAATCATCTGGCAGTGTTCAAAAGAGTTAAAGCTAATTGAAAACCTAATTATTGAGAGATTGGCTACTGGGGAAAGCCCTTGAATATGGCAACATAACTGTTTGGGTTGAAATTTGTTTACTTGCGTAAAGATATTTTGGAAACTATAGCCTTGAACTTCACTCATCTTCCAGCAGTGTTATGCATGCAAACAACCGCTGTATATAAAATGCAAAAGCTATGCAATAAAGCGAAATTTTAAATTTTGTTAAACAATGACAAACAAGCAATCGGGGAAACTCGAGAACGAGTAGATCAGGATATGTCTAAATGTTGCTACTAAATACTTCCTATATATGCCATGGCTTCGACGAAAAATTCTAAAAGATTAAGCTATCGTTGTCATGTAGAAAAGTATAGCGAAGTTAGATGTATAAACGTTTCGACGTTTGCGCGAATTGGAAATTCATCTCGGCGCAATTAAAAGTTTCGGGTTTTATTTGTGTTGCGTTTACATTCAGAAGTCAGAAGTGGTTGCTCATGCAAACAGCAAATTAGTTTACTTTGAAACTAATATTTCGCTTTCTAAGCCACAATATTATACCAAATTTTCTGTCTTCTGAGTTCTGTTGTCTTAAAGATAAACATCTGTCAAAAGTTTCAGCGAAATATATTCGGCGTTACAGCGAATTATATTCGCCACTAGATTCATATTGTATGCCATCCTGTCCGCGTTTTAAATATAACCGAACATACTAATATCCAAATCTGATAATTTATTTTAATGGTGCATGCATTTTATTTCCTGGACAAGAATCAATGTCTTTAAATTCAATTTATGTGCAATTTTGACCAAAATTGCTCTCAAAATATAAAAATATTTATATATTTATTCGAATATTTATTTCTTAATCACTTTCCGAAATATAGAATGTTTGCTGTGATTGGTGGATCGGAGAGAATGGAATGTGTAGCTCGTTTCAGCAGACGTTTGTTAGCGAAAGTTAGAGCTATATTGCCTATAAGCACGTCTGCAAGGGAGACTACTTCTTTACCTAACTTGGAAGAGCTTCCTACGTCCCTTCTCTGATATTGTTGTTGTTACCTTACTTCCTGGTCAAACAAACTGTTGATATCGAATGTTTATTATGCTTTGCCAATTTCACACAATGTCACGTAGCTATCTCGAAACACAACAACGTTTCAGTGCATAACACATAACGTTATTCTCTGTTCAAAACAAGTTACCTTAAGGACGCAACTTGGTAAACAATTGACATTTTCACGATGTTAGAAGAAATAATCGCTTGTTTTTTCTCATTGTTTTCTGCCTTAGCTTCGGATGCGCCACGACTTTCTCGAGAATTGAACGACATTAATACAAGTCCATCAGAACAACGAACACGCTATACATGGGAGGATAAAATTCACAAAGAATACGTCTCGTTTGAAGAAGATAATCCACCATCACAAATAGAGTATGTACTACTAGGGCATGAACTGCGAAACAAGCCTATATATATCCAGTCATTACTCAGAAGTTTGAAGGCGAACTTTACCATAACCTTAGCTGTACTGCCTTTGGCATTTATAGGGATGGCTCTTATATATTTTGATTTAAGAACAGTGGATTTATGTTCTAAATGGGAGGCTAAGAACTACACTGTTTCATTTGATGTTAGGAGAATAAAATTAATCGGCGAAGGATTTCAGTCAGTGATATTGTATCTCGTGGTCCCCTTCCTTTTGCTTGTCTTATTTGGTTGGACAGAATTTATGCGTCATTATTCCTCAACTATCCTAGTAGGCCTACTGGCTGGTATATTTAATACATTATTTTTAAGTTTTTTACTCCTATATGGTATTGATGATACTAGTTCAATCGTAACTTACAACGTTCCAGGAAATTTATTATTTCCTGTCGCTTCTCTCTGGGAATATGCAATTGTGGTGCGCAATATTCGACAAAATCATCAAACTGTATCCTACTCAGGTGGCCATATTTTCACGGTTCTTGCAGTACCGGTATTGAGCACCTTGGCAATGGCAGTGTTTTACAAATACGCGGTTGTTAACTGGTTTATTTCCCTCGATAATGTGTTGTATAAATTCATATTGGCGGTCTTGACACCGACCTTAGCACTGGTACCGACTACCATATGTAGGCATATGGCATTATGGCGCACTTCAGAGATTATCGAGCCAGAACGAAGCTTTGCGTTGGTTTATTTCATACGGGCAATGTTCATTACTTTGTATCGTATCATGCAAGCAGATTTTGAAAACATCTGGCTGTTTGTCGGGCTATCTCTCCTATCTGGTGTTTCGAGTTTGCTTAAAACAGCGACTGTTGGTATTCGTGAGAACGCATGGGCGCGAGTTATCAGGTTTCTGAACAAAACTTGCTGTACAAGACTTCACCATTTGCCTGGAAACACACCACATCATAGGCGGCTTAAAGCAGACACCGAGATACAAAATATACTTTTTGAGAACAATTCACTGATTCTGAGCCAATCGTACATCGTTTTATATACGATTACAAAATTTCAGCTCTCGGATTGGCCAGTATTGAAGCCATCTTTAACCAGAATTGCTATTGGATTAGTGATTGAATTCGTATTCAACTTTCTGTCTACTTTTATTCGCATACAGTGGTATAATATTCCCACAGCGCGAGTGTGGTCCAAGAATTGGAAACGACATGTGTTTGCTAACGCAATCATTCTGGCAGTTTTAGTATACTATTTTACTCAACCCTTGCTCGCAGTATTTCAAGATCGTTTTCATGATTTTGGTACAGGGAATTATACTATTAGAAATTGTACTCTGCCTTATGAAAGCTGGCGTTGATTTCAGAAACGGTCGTCTGGAAATGTGCGGTGTGATGTCTCCTTAGTTCCATATTACGGACAATTTCCTAATATCTCTATGTTACCTATTATGACTTTAATGTTATCATATAGTAGTATAGTTATGTTACTGCATAATATTTTTTAATGATTTTAGCATGGACATGTCAGGTTTAACGTTTATTTGACGTGATGTTGAAATGTTTGAATTTTATTGTAACATGCATGCACGACTCCTATGAATACCAGCGTCCAGTTCAAGCTGACTGGGGCAATTCTGTTTAAATAAACGTTTTCATATAACTAGACACACAGTCACACACTATTATCCAAATCCATTGCACCAACAGACCCATAGCAAATGTAATGAAAGCAATTGAAGTTCATTTTTCCACTACTGAGCAGAGGTTCGTTTCAAGTTGTCTGTCATGCAGATGTCATGTATCAGGGATGGCTCTAGCCAGTTCTGGTAGGGGGTGCTAGTCGAGCTTTGGCACTGAGAAATAGCATTTGCTACTTCACATTAAACGTACATAGCCTACATAACATGAACAATTTTCTTATAGTTTTTAAAGATGTTTACAGCGGCACTTCGAAACGAAATACAGTTTGGCAATTGATACAAATAACCGCATAGTTTACACCAAAAACTGACTAATCCTTGGAGACCACATTGTATTCTCACAACCTTACGAGTTATGAATAATCAAGTAGACATTCGTAAGGCCGGTTTTCCACTAGGCGGAATTTTGCGTGCGGAGCGGAATTTTTCTCTGTCTTGTGATTTCTTGGGTGGAACTAATTAGAAAAGACAAAGAGAAATTCCGCTCCGCGCGCAAAATTCCGCCTAGTGGAAACGGCCCTAAAATACTCAATATCGAAAAACGAAACCATGCTGTGCGCTTTTCTAAAGATTCGAAAGTTCTTTATAAAAATATTCTTACGGGCTATTAACTGGTTTCGGTTGTGAAAGTATTCGCAGCAATGCATGTGAACAACATATTTACAAGGTTTAAAACGGAATAATCATGCAGCCGTTCTTAAAAAAATGACTGATTTATAAGCACCAAACATGTTTACAAATTTTTATTGTTCTACCAACATTTCGAAGTATAACGCCGTCTAGCTTGAGATGAAAATTTAGAAGCCGAGAGGCTGTGGTCGGCACGGCAGATAAATTTGCACATGTCACATTCTTACAAAATTGACAGCGTGGCATTTTCCAGCTATACGAAGAAATATAACAGAAGCTTTTACTTTTGCGCCGTCTCTGTGCTAATCATGCAGTGTCAACCTCGCGTCTACTTTTACTATAGGGGTTAACACTAAACCTAAACCTAAGGTTAACACCAACCCAAACCTTTGGCCCTTAGGGTAACCCCTACCAACACTAGGTCTAACCCCAACCCTAACCCAAAGGTTGGAGTAACTTATAGACAGGATACTAAGTCTGTGTTCTAAATGGACTTCTGATTGCACAGTCTTGGTGTGAAGCTACTGCCGGCAACTATGTGAACAAACACATTTATTCACAATATTTTATTTTCCTGCCGAAAATTCTATGATAGCAAGCAGGCCGGCAAACTAATCTTCATATATAATATGTCAGTTCATTTTTATATACAATATGTCAGTTTCATCTTCTGATCTTCATCTTCATATATAATATGTCAGTTTCATCTTCATATAAAATATGTCAGTTCATTTTTTAGTCAGTTGTAGAACATTTGAAGTGCAAGTTAGGGTCGGCAGTAATCTGCTAATGGCTATTGCACAGGTTTAATATTGCCATGTGAATTGCTTGGCGACGTCAATAAAAAAATACAAATAACCTTCAAGCAAGATCTTAAAATGGTGAAGGGAATTGATTGGTTAGTCTGCACTGTTAAAAATATCTGGTTCTTTACCGAATATGTACTGTTATTTTTTACAGTAAGTATACCACTGTATAATAATAAATTACAGTATAAACACTCGTGAGTAAAGCTACATACAGTTACATCAAAGCGGTCAGTGCAGAAACACGCGTAAGCAAAGCTCCATACAGTTATATCAAAGCGGTCAATGCAGAAACACGCGTGAGCAAAGCTCCATACAGTTAAATCAAATCGGTCAGTGTAGAAACACATCATAACCATATTTAGTAACTAGAGTCATAATTGTTTTGTCTTCGTCAGTGGCGGCGCCAGGGGGGGCAAGGGGGGGCAAATGCCCCCCAAAATTATTTTTTGCCCCCCCATTTTGCCCCCCCTCAAAAAAAATTATTAGTCACTAAGAGCGACTAAAGGCTACACAAGTGTTCTGTCGTTACCGGAAAATGTATGGCTTATAAGTTGTCATTACTCATTTGTGAATGCGCGTATACATGAAACTGTTTTTTACAGTTTCAATATTAGTTTGTAAATCTCTGAATGGTAAAACTTGCCAATACTCCAATAATACGTTTCAAAAAAAGACAAAAAAGCTTTAGTTTTGCAGAGTTACATTCTCAAACGTGTAAGGCAATAAGAAGATGAAAGTATCACGAAATTATTTGAATAAACCACATCGCTTATATGGGGGGCGAATGTCCTAAAGAGGGGCGATATTCCTAGGGTATTCGCCCCACCCCCCTGGGAGGCGATATTCCTAGGATATTCGCCCCCGGGGGCGATATTCCTAGGAATATCGTCACGTTTTGAGGGGGGGGGCGAATTTCCTGGGGGGCGACCTTTTTAAAAATTCGATCTTGCCCCCCCAAAATTTGAGTTTGCCCCTCAAATGCCCCCCTAAATTTGGAAGCCTGGCGCCGCCACTGGTCTTGGTTTGTGTCCAAATCATTGATGTACCTAGTGTGGCACAGCACCTCTTTGCAACCTACCTACGCAGTAAGTTAAATATTTGGCAGTTATAATGGCGTAACTTTATGTAATACTAGTCGCTGATTGGCTAAGACTTACAGGTATCTGCGGCATTATATCGCAATTATCACGCGTGGAACCCAATTCGAAGCATTTGGCTAATAATAACCGCGATTTTTGAATCAAATAAGTTTGACGATTGTAATTATATGTTCGACGCCAACATTAATTTCGACATCTATCATCCATTCTATACTGGTTCACATGTAATTAAAATAATTAACCTGGTAATTGCCGGTTGACGCGCCATATGTATCTCTGTTTCCGCATTTTCTAAGCTATCATGCATGCATAACTGCATTGTATATGTGTTTCTAAAGGTAACTTAATTGCTTGGTTAATATAAACGTGGCCAATCAAATGATATTTTCATAATGTTGGAAGAAATAATCTCTTGTTTCTTGTCATTGTTTTCACTGCCTTAGCTTTGGATGCTCCGCGACTTTCTCGAAAATTGAAGGAGAATACAAGTCCATCAGAACAACGAACACGCTTTTCGTGGAAGGATAAAATTCACAGAGAATATGTATCGTTTGACATATTGTCTATAAAAATGATTATCACTGAAGCGTGCGCGAAGCTTTGCGTTGATTTATTTCGTACGGGCAATGTTCATTACTTTGTATCGTACTCTGTAACGAACATTGCCCGTAATGAACATAGCTCGGGCTATCTTTTCTATCTGGTGTCTCGAGTTTACTTAAAACAGCGACTGTTGATATTCGTGAGAAAGTATGGGCGCGAGTTATCAGGTTTCTGAACAGAACATGCTGCTGACACCGAGAAACAAAATATACTTGTTGAGAACAATTCACTGATTCTAAGCCAATCGTACATCGTTTTATATTATACCATTACAAACTTTCACCTCTCTGATTGGTCTGTCGTGAAGTCATCTTTAACGAGAATTGCTATTAGATTAGTGTTTAAATTTGTGTTCAACTTTTTGTCTACTTTTGTTCGCATACATTGCCATTGGTACAATATTGCCATAGCGCGAGTGTGGTACAAGTACTAGAAACGACATGTGCTTGCTAATGGAACCGTTGTTGCAGTTTTAGTATGCTACTTTACTAATCCCTTGCTCGCAATATTTCAAGATCGTTTTCATGATTCTGATGCAGGGAATTATACTATTAGAAATTGTACTCTGTCTTATGAAAGCTGGCGTTTATTTGATCGTTTGTTGTAAGCTCTCCTCACTTGTTAACTACAGACAATTTTCTGTAATTTTTATCAATGTTATTATAGTAATGTTAGCATAATATTTTTCATTTATTTTTTGAATAGTAATATCAGCATATTTTTTAATGACTTTAGCATGGGCATGTTAGATCATAGTCTGTCAAGATGATAGTCTGGAAGCCTGCCAAACTGCAAAGCCACAAAATAGAAGACTTTTGTTTGATATTGAACTGTAGTATTCATCGTGGTTGCACTTTCACATATCCCAGCTATCCCTATTGGATAGTTACTTGATTATACGAAAATACAACGAGCTTAATTTGTGACCGTGCACAAATTAACATAAACTCAGACAACAACATGACACAATGACTTCACTTCAGGTATTGATAGACTATTTTCACAACCAATCCTCTGTGCCTTACACGGACGTTTTTGAGACTATCAATCCTAATAATCTTCCTGGTCTTCTCCAGAAGACCAATAGGGGTCCCTATAGGACTATTCGTTCGACAAGGTCGACATGACATAGATCGACTCGCTACGTTTAGGTCCAAAACGCCATCCAACCTTAGTGCCCTTCAATCACTTCGTATCCGGGATCACATTGTTAGAAAATCTGCTGATAAGGTGCTGCCTTGGTAAATTAGAAAGCGGACTTGTATCACAGTGAAGCCCATCGACAATGACGTGACATTGCTTTTTACAGGAGCGTTGACAAGAATTTGACCTCTACTCATCAAACCTACTACTGTTTTGGTTCCTTTGGCTGAATTGGAACTCACCTTCAATATTTTTTCCTCTGATGGTGAGCATTACCAACAGGTAAGTGGTCTAGCCATGGGAACTAATATGAGTCCTAAACTATGCTAAGTAATTTGTTGGTTTTGTGGGAAAACAGCTCTTCAATACACTGATCTGATATCTCATCATACCAAAAGGTCGATTCTCTTCTTGCAGTTCCTTCGTCTTCGCCGCATTTGCAGTGAAGATGAGGACTTCCAAGCCAAAAGTCTGGAAATGTGGGACAATCATCCAACGCGGCTATCACACATCTCCATTAGACACTGCCTTTTCGAAGGTCGCCCAGATCTGAGACTCTCATTGACCCTGTGTCTAATATAACAAGAAATAACCGAATCCCCTAGTCCTAACTGATCATCCTTTTAATTTTCAAGTAAGAGATATCATTGGAAGAATTTCCATGTCTACAAAAACGACCCTCAAACATCTTCCACTTTCTCTGATAACCCCCTAGTCTCTTTTCGACACTGAAAAATATCCGAGAAACGCTATAGACCTTACAGTTCTCAATATCTTTGTATCGTCGGCAAAGGTTGCGATAGTTGAATTATCCACTGTTTCAATGAGATGATTCTCCGCGTTACCTCTTCAGCGAAAGAACTCTCGTTGCTTCGATAACATGATTCTCGTTGCGTCGGAAAATTCTCGTCAGGAAAATTATCCGTGTATTGGAACGGACAAGAAAATTTTTCTTTGTCTTCTGAGCTCTGAGTTGGAACTAATGACTTTAACACGAAGAAAAATTTTCTTGTCCATTCAAATCCACGGATAATTTTCCCGAGTGGAAACTAGCCTTAAAATATGATAATTGCCGGTTGACGCCTATCTCTGATTCCGCATTTCTGATCTAAGATAGATATCATGCAGGCATAACATTTCTGATTTAAGATATCATGCAGGCACAACTGCATTGTATATGTGACTTTAAATAAAGAGGTAACTTGGTTAAATAAACTTTGCCGATCAACTGATATTTTCACAATGTTGGAAGAAATAATCGCTTCTTTCTTGTCATTGTTTTCTGCCTTAACTTTGGATCCGCCACGACTATCTCGGAGAGAAATGAACGACAATACAAGTGCATCAGAACAACGTACACGCTACACATGGGAGGATAAAATTCACAAAGAATACGTCTCGTTTGAAGAAGATAATCTACCATCAGAAAAAGAGTATGTACAACTAGGGCATGAACTGCGAAACAGGCCTAGTTATATCCAGTCATTACTCAGAAGTTTGAGGGCGAACTTTACCATAACCTTAGCTGTACTGCCTTTGGCACTTATAGGGATGGCTCTTATATATTTTGATTTAAGAACAGTTGATTTATGTTCCGAATGGGAGGCTAAAACCTACTCTCTTTCATTTGATGTTACGAGAATAAGACTAATGGGCAAAGGAATTCAGAAAGTGATATTGTATCTCTGGTTTCCTTTGTCTTTGACTGTTTTATTTGGTTGGAGCGAATTTAAGAGTCATTATTCTTCAACTATCTTAGTAGGCCAACTGGCTGGTTTATTTAATACATTATATTTAAGTTTTTTACTCCTATATGGTATTGATGATACCAGTCCAATCAAAAGTTATTACGTTCCTGGCATTTTAACATTTGCTGTTGCTACTCTCTGGGAATCTGCACTTGTGGTGAGAAATATTCAACAAAATCAACCAACTGTATCCTACTCAGGTCGCCATATTTTCTCGGTTCTTGCAGTACCGGTATTGAGCACCTTGGCAATGGCAATATTTTACAAATACGCGGTTGTTAAGTGGTTTAATTCCCTGGATAATGTGTTGTATAGATTCATATTGGCCATCTTGACACCGACCTTATCACTGGTGCCGACTACAATATGTAGGCATATGGCATTATGGCGTACTTCAGAGATTATCGAGCCAGAACGAAGCTTTGCGTTGGTTTATTTCATACGGGCTTCCTTCATTACTTTGTATCGTATCATGCAAGCAAACTTTAAGAATATCTGGCTGTTTGTCGGGCTATCTCTTCTATCTGGTGTCTCAAGTTTACTTAAAACAGCGACTGTTGGTATCCGTGAGAAAGTATGGGCGCGAGTTATCAGGTTTCTGAACAGAACTTGCTGTACGAGACTTCACCATTTGCCTGGAAACACACCACATCATAGGCGGCTTAAAGCAGACACCGAGATACAAAATATACTTTTTGAGAACTATTCACTGATTCTAAGCCAATCCTACATCATTTTATATACAATTACAAATTTTCATCTCTCTGATTGGTCTGTCGTGAAGTCATCTTTGACAAGAATTGCTATTGGATTAGTGATTGAATTCATGTTCAACTTTTTGTCTACTTTTATTCGCATACATTGGCATAATATTCCCATAACGCGAGTGTATTCGAAGTACTGGAAACGACATGTGTTTGCTAACATTATCGTTGTTGCAGTTTTAGTATGCTACTTTACTAACCCGTTGATCGCAATATTTCAAAATCGTTTTCATGATTCTGGTACAGGGAATTATACTATTAGAAATTGTACTCTACCTTATGAAAACTGGCGTTGATTTCATAAACCGTAGTTTGCAAATGTGTGGTGTGATCGAGTCTCTTACTTCTCTGTTATGGACAATTTCCTATTATTTTTATGCTATCTTTCCTATTATGACTTTAATGTTATCATAGTTTTATTGGATGAGGTTAAGTCGAATTGGGCAATTGTTTTATTATTCATTCCGTGACAGTAACATATAAAACAAACAAAAATTAAAAACAAATGAAAATCCGTTACATTATTAACTTTATAAAATTTCCCGCCAATTTGTAATAAAGCTACTGTTTCGGTTGAAAATAGTGCAGGCACGTAGAAATGCCTGAACTTATTTGTAGGCTTTTAGCCAATAAAAAAAAACAAGACAGTACAATGAATAATAATCATAGTAATGTTACTGCATAATAATTTTTAAAGACTGTAGGTTTAGCATGAACATGCATGTGAATTTTAACTTTTCAACGTAATCTTGAAATGTATGAATTTTATTGTAACACTCACGGCAGCTATCAATACCAGTGTCTAGTTCAAGCTGACTAGGGCAATCCTGTTTAAATAAACGTTTTCATCTAACCAGACGCACTATTATGTAGACCCATTGGAGCGACAGACCCATAGCAAAATTTGCAGGTAATGAAAGCAATTAGCCTTTCTCACGCCGCCATTTTTGAGTAGCATTTCATCCGAAGTCTGCGAGATAAGACCACATAACAGCGACTTTTTATAATTTTTTGGACGAATGATGGTTACTTTGCTTTGTGTTTTAATTGTCTGCATTGGTTAGAATTGGATGCCACTCAAAAATGGCGGATATTCGACATCGTGAGAAAGGTTAATTGACGTTCTTTATTCCCAGGGGTCGAAATTTAAATTTTTTTGTACTATACAGCCCGGAATAGTAGATTTTTATATTTACTATTCCGTCTGAAAATCCACTATTCCTTAATGTACTGTTTCTGATGAGAGCCTGTTGATGCAGGGTCCGCGCTAATGTTCTGATTTTCGTGAAATCATCCTTGGGACTCCTAAAGTGAACTGAATAATTGTAAAACAAACATGTACAGTGCATTCCTCTGTACACGGTAAGGAACAAATTATTAATAAAAAACAAAGTTCAAACACTGAAATGAACTTGCGAACTTTATTGGTGCAAAGAAATTAGAATATGCAAGTATTGCAAGCGAACAAGAACTTAGGTACGAAGTGGAACAGTGGCTCAAAGTCCGGTATAAAATTATATATTATACAAGAGGAACACCCTAGCTTGCTTGTCAATATTTGGTATCATAATTTTTTCTACTATACAAACGGAATACTGTGATCATGAAGTTTACTATTCTGTCAGGCATTTTAGTATATTCGGAATAGCGGAATAGCGGGAATTTCGACCCCTGAATTCCACCTCACTAGTTACTGCATGAGGCCCCAGTTAAGCCTAGTTTCCATTTGGTCGTTCGTTGTCGCTGGCACGACAAGTGGCTGATGTAATAGAGTGTCAACAAAACTTTATGAAACTCTGCAATCATTAAGACTGATTTGCATATAACACACAAAAAGACTATTATTATATTAGACTATTTCACATCTACCGCTTGTTGTGCCAGCGACAACTAACGACCAAATGGAAACTAGGCTTTACACGATGACCGGATTCGCATCGGAGCGACATCAAATTTTACTGCTTCGAGGTGAATTTGACACTTAAAATTATGATAATATAACAATTAAACAAAAGCTTCAAATATGAAAAGTTGTAAGAGCAGACAAGACTGGAAAACATCTTAAATTGATGTCACTCCGATACGAATCCGGTATCGTGTAACTGGGGCCTGAGTAGCGGTTCGTTTCATGTATCAGGGATGGATCTAAGTATAGTTGTGGTAGGGGGTGCTGCTCGAGCTTTGGCACTGATCTTAGGTCCAAGACTGGATAGAGCAATTTTGAAGCCAGCATATTTAGGAAGAGAAATTATTAAATCTGTCACTCCATCCCTTACGAATCAAATGGTTATGTGTTTAAATTAGTTATACTATCAAGCAAATTTCTTCCACGTAACTTGGAAGATACAGATTACCACACCACTAATGCGTTTTCAATCGTTTTAAACACGACATAATGACACCATATATTGGTGTGACCATATTAATTATTCACTGTCAAATTTTAGGCAGTTCGACGTCTGTATCATCAGGTGTTACAGCAAACATTCAAAGCAGTTACTCTTAATTAAAACTTTTCGCTGGGAAAAGGAGATTGAATTAAATCGCCTTCTTCACACCCTCTATAATAATTACATGACAATTTTACTTGGAATGCTTTGCCCTGTAAATTACGGCGAAGCGCAAAATACAGAGCTAGGGGGACATCACTCCTAAGAAGTGTACGAGACAAAAAAAACATGTTTTTTTGGTGATTTTTTTTTGTTGCTTTTTTTAAGTTTCTTTTTTATTTTTGCGATTTTTCAAAAAAGATTTTCGTATAATTTTTTCTGAAGGTGCGTGTATAAACGATTTAGAATCAGGCGATTTGCTCCATAATCCATATCAGCTAAAGGGAATATATTTTTTGATGTATAATTTACATACTGATTTCGATCAGTCCACGAACTGCGATGTTTTCGAGTTTCATCAACTTAAACTGAAAAAAAGTAAAATCCACATTATGAAAAGCATCACTAAATCATTATCACTATTTAAATATGAAACAAAAATTCCAGTGTTACCATCACTATAACTAAACGTATTAACTGGTTGAACTGTAATACACTCTAAACTGAACACTGTGGTTAAGATTTTGCCTCAGAAGATTGTTTCCACAGAAGATTGCAGGCTCAGGGTTCGGGATTGACAGGGTGCAATAATTCAAGATTTTTAGTTGTATCCGACTAGTACTTCAACGATTTGACGTACACATGTACAGATTTAACC